CCATTTTTCCCTATGCTCCCCCCCCAGAGCAGAGCCTCCTGAACAGTGGCAGGCTCCTTAGGAAGCGCGACGCCGTGGACCGCGGTGACCAGGCCAAGTATCTGGAGGCCACTCTGTGTGTAGCGGGGGAGTGTTGTGTTCGCGGGATAAGCTGCTTCGTCACCTGCTTCTGGGTCAGGTATGAAGTTAGGCCCTATGCGTTCTGCTTCGTTGGTGTTGACTTCTGCAGGTGTAACGTAACCGTTGTTGGCGAAGATGCTGTCGCGAGGATTTTCATCATCCATTGGGACGTCGACGGAGCAGTAAGGGAGAGGTCCGGCTTCCTCCGAGGCTGCATCCACGTTCTGCTCGTCCCAGTCAGCTTCGTCTGCTGCCGAGGCGAAGGCTCGGTCACCACGGAAGCCACCTGTGGGGTCCCGATCTTCTTCCAGGTTGGCAAGGTACGTCGGAAGGGTGAGCCATTCGTAGAAAATGACATCACGTGCTGCTACTGTTTCCTTGGAGTGGACGTCGAAAATCTTCCACGCGTTGTAATTTCTTTCGATGCCCAGGTGTAGTCCCCACTGTGCGCGTTGGGAAAATCGGCCGGCTCGTGCAGATGGGGGTCGGTACTGTACCATGCAGCCGAAAAATCTTGCTGCCCTGTTTTCCTGTTTTGTGCTGCCCTGTTTTCCTGTCCATAGCAGATGCGGTGATGCGTTGTTCGGGAGCGATGATGACGAGAGCAAGTTGTGCAGCATGACAGCATGGTCCATTGCTTCGGGCCACTGGTGGTTGGGCAGTCGCATGCCTCGTAGCAGTTTGCGCATGGTGTTCTGGAGAGTCCTGTTCATTCTTTCTGCTACGCCTTGCTGCTGGTGAGCGTAGGGAAGAGAGATGAGCCTCTTGATCCCTCTTTCTGCCAAGTACTGCTTGAACCTCTGTGAGGTGTATTCTCCTCCTCCGTCTGACTGGAAGCTTTTTAGCTTTACGCCCGATTCTCGTTCTGCTACTGGGAGCCAAGCGACGAAGGCCTCGAAGGCCATGTCCCTGCTTGGGAGGTTAAGGTGCCAAACGTAACGCGTAGCGGCATCGATGAACGTGATGGTGTAGCTGTATGCTCCTTGTCCAGGTTCGCGGTTGTACAGGATGTCGCTGTACACTTTCTCGAGTGGTGCGTAAGCTGGTGCGCTGGGATTGTGATGAGAAACGAACGGCCGATGTGGTAAGTCAGCTTCGGGGTAGGTAAAGCACGTTCCGCGAGCTCGTCGAAGTTCGCTTCCGTCGATTAGGAGCAGTGAATCTTTATCGAGCACGCCTGCTCTGATTGTGTTATTTAACACCGTGTTGCTTGGATGTCCCATTTGTGCGTGCCAGATATCTTCGATGGCGTGATGTCCGGGTGAGCGCCGATATATGTCGGAGTTGGAGTAAAAACTGGCGGTGAAGTTGGCGCTTCGATGGACTTCCCGTTGAGTTGGGTTCAGCTGCTGCGCAGGAGTTAGTAAAGTGTCGTCGTCAATTGGAGTCGGTGCAGTTGAAGGGCCAGCAATTGGTGTCGATGTTGCCGCTGCTGCTGCCGTTGTTTCTGCTGCTGCCGATGTTGTCTCCGCTGCTGCCGATGTTGTCTCTGCTGCTGCCGATGCTGTCTCTGCTGCTGCGGATGTTGTATCTGCTGCTCCCGATTGTTAAATCGTTGCTAATGCTCTTGTTCGTTCTGCCTCAGGAATGGTGTGCGAGTACCAGAAGCCTTCGGGACTGAAGACGGGGTCAAGATCTGGTGGATGTGTCCAAGAGGTGAAGGTGACGATCCCGTCGCTGTCAGCTGTGCCAGGGTCTGGGACGAAGTCGAAGACGAAGACGTTGTTCTTCAGGACTGCCTTGCCGATGTAGAGACCTCCTCTTCCGTGGTACAACTTGAACTCCTGAGTGGTGCTATCTGCTTCGAGGTGTATGCCCTTCGCCATCAGTTGACTGACGCTAAGTAAGTTGTAACCGAGCCCTTCTGCTATTAAAACCGTTGACATTTGCAGTATGACGTTTGTCTCTCGTGACTGAAGTTGCACTACACCTTGTCGTCGTGTGCGTAGGTTCTGATTGTTGGCCACGGTGATGACGACCTCGCGTTGAAGTTGGTGTTCGCGTTGAACGAAGCGTCCTGAAGAACACATGTGCTGTCCGCAGCAGCTGTCCAAGAACCACGTATCTTTCCCGGACGGCTCGCTTTGAGCGATGGCTGCATACGTCGGATTTGGTTGAAGTGACTCACGGCAAGGCGAGCTGTTGTCAAATTGCTCATCCGGTGAGTAATGCGGTGGTGATTCTGTGATGCAAGAGTCGGTCAGCCATGCCATGCAACTGACGATGTTTCTTGTTCCTTGCGCAGGTTGTCCCGTCGATGTTGTTGAGGCTTGTACTTGAGTGGTCGGATTCGCTTGCGTTGAGGCGACTTGACTGCTTGAAGGGCGAAGTGGTCGCTGCGTTGGCGTTGACTGCTGCCGGTTTGGGCAGTGCGTACGGGGGTGACCTGATGTCTTACAAAGGTGACAGAATGGAGGTACTGGTTTCGGTTGATGCCGATTGTTGTTGTTGTTGTAGCGCCGTTGAGTGTGAAATGCGAATTCGGGTACTGATGCCTTCCTCTTGTGTCGTTCTTCTTGCAGGTCCATATCTTGCTGCTCAGCGTGGATCTCGGCGCAGAGTGCTGCTTGTGATATTTTTCCGTGAGCTCGGAGTATGGCGCCACTGAGGACCGAGTCCGCCGATGATGACTGTGACGAAAGCGTCTTCTGAAATCGACCCTCCGCACCGAAGGAGTTTGTCGCGCAATTTGCGACAACGGCTGATATACGCCATTCTCTTTTCGCCCGGTTTCATTTCGACTGTTGTCAGTTGCGCCATTAACCGACTTTGATTGACGCTGTCTGTTGCTTGATACAGGTTCTTCAGGTGGTTGTACGCGAGCTCTGCAGAGTTGCCGTATCCCCGGTAAGACCGTAAATTTAGCTGCTGATTCGGAGTGATGTTTTTCAGTAGGATTGTGTACGCCGTCATTGACTGATACGTATACTGCTGCTTGTCGTACTGTGTGACGTGTGTTGGATATGGCAGGGACCCGTCGAAGAAGCCAAGGATCTGCGCGCCTTCCATCATCAGCTCGAACTCGAACGACCAGGGAAAGAAGTCCTTCCCGTCGAAAGGCTTTGACGTTTGCAGTTTTAAGACGTGCGCGAACTGCGACTGAACTTGAAGTGCGTCCAGTGTCTTCTCTTGTCCATGTGCAGGCTGCGGTTGTGACATAAAGCTGATGGAGCCACGCTGGGGCTCGTACGGAGCAAAGGTAGGTTGCTGCTGTTGATTTCCACGTGCGTAGGATGAGCCGTCGAGGCTCATGGGCGTCACGTCGTTGTTGTTGTTGCTGTTGTTTGACTGCGCAGGTGCCGACTGCTGATGTTGCTCGTAGAAGGATATGAAGGAGAATAACTTCTCCATCATGTCTTGGTTGAAGTCTGCAGGCTTATTCGCAGGAGTCTCAGTGGACCCTGCTGCTGGTCTTGTCGCCGTACCCTGCTCTGTCTGTAGGCCAGAGGCAGGAGGTGGAGTAGGGGTAGTGCCGGGAGAACCATTAGAGGAACTCCTCTCCTTCTGAGTAGCCATGCTTTCTGATGTTGTAGGTGTCTTGATAGTGGAATTTGTCCTGACCGCTCTCATACCATATTGGGCTGAAAAGGCCCTTAGGATCTTTACAGGACTAAACTCCTGGTAGGACTGATGTAATAGCGGAAGCGTTTAATGAAGAGTTGTGAACCACCTTGCGCTAGTATGTGAGGGCAAAGTAGATTGATACAAGCCTTTTATAAGAGTACAAGGGAATATGAAGGGTTATAACTAATAAGGGTGCATCCCGCTCTGGACATGTCCCAATCATACATGTCCCAATCGATTCCACCGCACTGCATCTTATTACACCGAATTACACCCTAGTTTCAAACATTGTAAAAAATTTTCGCGTCTCTGGTTTAGTTCGGTTCGGAGCGGTACACCCGATTGGGACATGTCCAGAGCGGAATGCACCCTAACTGTTTTGCTGTTGCTGTTGCGGTTCGATACAGTGACGAGTCGGGCAACTGCTCAATAGTGAGTCAGTTGTTTGTCCTTGCTGTCGCGCTGTACTTGTCAGGTCAAAGGTCGCTGACCTTCGACTTTCGCGTAACCTCCAGCAGTTGCTCAACCTCCGAGGGTTGACTCGCTAATGCTTTGATGTGTTGTGCTTCGCTTCTGTCTTGGTGTTTCGACATGACAGGGGCGCTTAAATCAATTGTTTCCAACATTTTGCAGAGCCAGCACAGAAACTGTGGACAATTGACTTTGCCTTGCAGTGAGGTTACCATAGTTGAAAGGTACGTGTCAATCATTATCTATCATTGATGGCAGGGAAGGATTGTCAGTCTTTGGTGCCAAATCAACGGAATTCCACTAGCTTGGACAGGAGCGTTGTATGTATCTTCATAATTTTAGTGCAATATTAAAGCCAACAGCTAAAATAGTGACCCCCCCCTTCTAGTTGGGTCCAACTTGAAAACGGAAGTTTTGGGAAAGTTGGAAGTTACGTATGAGATTTTCTTTCAACACCAGAGTTTGCCTCAAAGTGAAGGGGGAACGATTGGATCATATTTATGAACTTTGATTGGTGACAAACTTTCTCGCACATACATGTGCGATTTTGGCGCAAGGCTGCACGACGTGCAAAGCTTCCAATCGTTCCAGTGAATGTACCAGAAGCTTTGCGTGACGCAACGACACAAGCAGTTCCGACAACCCACACACATGCAACGAGAATGTTTAGGTAATCCAGAGCTAGTCGACCTGTAAGACCAGTGCAGCGAAGGACCTGCGGCCTGCTCCTTTAGAATAATATTAACAAGGGGAGGGGAGGGGACGGTAGTGAGGAATAACGACGGGAAAGATCAAGGGCGAGAGGAACAAGGACGGGAATGGAAGCGGAGATGGGAAGAGCGACGTTAGGGGAGCGGAGAGAGGAAGAAAGACGGGAGGGGAGCGGAGACACCGAGGGCGAAGAAAGGGGATGGGAGAACAACAAGAAGACGCGAAGGTAGGGGAGTTCTTGAGGGCGACGAGACGGGATGGAATAAAGGTACGCTGATCGAAAGGAAAGGGTGATGGCAATATCGTGGGGAAGGGAAGGGAGGGGCGATGGCGCGGGTAGAGAGGAGCGCGATGGCGACTACTCGAGAGCGTTTCGTGGTGCCGACAGTGACAGGAACCGTAACGATCGCGCGAGAGGCGAAAGAGCACTTCGCCGGAAGGCAAGCATATATATAACGCCGGGACAAAGCGAAGAAGAGAGCGAGGGCGATGGGAGAGAGGGCGACGGGAGAGAGGGCGACGGGAAGGGCGCGGAGAGAGAGAGCACGACGGGAAGGGAGGGGCGAGAGAGAGGGCGACGGGAAGGGAGCGGAGAGAGAGAGCGCGATGGGAAGGGAGGGGGGAGAGAGAGGGCGACGGGAAGGGAGGGGAGAGAGAGAGGGCGGCGGGAAGGGAGGCGACGGGAAGGGCGCGGATAGAGAGAGCGCGACGAGATGGGAGGGGCGAGAGAGAGGGCGACGAGAAGGGCGCGGAGAGAGAGAGCGCGATGGGAAGGGAGGGGCGAGAGAGAGGGCGACGGGAAGGGAGGGGAGAGAGAGAGCGCGATGGGAAGGGAGGCGACGGGAAGGGCGCGGATAGAGAGAGCGCGACGAGATGAGAGGGGCGAGAGAGAGGGCGACGAGAAGGGCGCGGAGAGAGAGAGCGCGACGGGAATGGAGGGGCGAGAGAGAGGGCGACAGGACAGGAGGGGAGAGCTCGTAAGCGATGGGACGAAATGGGAAAAACGGGGTGGGAGACGAGAGAATGTTTCGAGGCAAGCGCGAATGCGAAGAGGTGGGTGATGGGGGGTGGGGGACGGAATAAGGCCGCCGCGAGGGCAATTCCACGCGAATGTGAAGGTGATGAGCTGAGCGACGAAAGGGCGTTTCGGCGGCGAGCGCGTTCAACCGAAAAATCTCGAGGCAAGTATCGCTACGAGACGCGTAAGATCCCTCGTCACTAGGCCACGAATAGAAGGATGTGGATTAAATCTATAAAAATGGTAGTTGCCTAGGCAAAAATGCCTACGTTTTCAGCTATTCTAAGCTTGGCTAAACTAGAGACTAGAGTGGAAAGAAGTAGTGGAACCCAGGTCCAGCTTGAAGTTGGAGTTGGGCCCAACGATCGCAATGATCGCCGTACAGCCGTCGTGCGGGTGCATCATGTTGAATGTGACTCCTTGTGTAAGGCCTAGAAATTTCGTTTTTGGCGGGAGCCAATCAAATGGGTTCGATCTGCACACACGAAATGTTTGAAACAGTGCTTTGCAAACCCACCCGGGAAGATCCTTTCAAGCTGGGACGGGGTTCAGAATTCTATATTTCGGTTTTAACCAGAATACCTCCTACCGTACTTACAAATGTATGAAAATGAAAACCATAGGGGTGTGCTATGCGATGAGGACAACCAAAGGGTTGCTTGCATGGAATGGCTTCAAAAAATTACAGCAACAATGTGGCCTGGTGGCACTTGCAACTTCCAATAATACCCCTTCAATCCCCATAGGAGCGCTCACAGGAAAATCAAGCTTTGTTGGCAATCATGCCAGATTGGCGGGCAAAGTTGAAAATACCCCCGGCGTCAATCACGGGCCCGGCTTCCCCAATGGGCTTCAGAGCGTACTGCTTGCCTGTGGTGTGATGGATCAGCAAATCATGCTCCAGATCTACAGTCACCTCATCCCCCGACTTAATCACCTCGCACAGCCTCGCGCCAAGTCCCTCCGCCGCCTCAACCGGGTACAACTCCCCGGTCGCGACGCAGTTACGGAAGAAAATCCGCGCGTACGACTCCGCCACCACCGCGCGGCAGCCCGCCGCGCCGAGCGCAACGGGCGCGTGCTCGCGCGACGACCCGCAGCCGAAGTTAGCCCCACCGATGATGATGGCGTACTCCGTCTTCATCTGCCCCTTCTGCACGTACCGCAGCGTGTGCTTCGCGGGCAGCCCCGCCATCGCGTAGCTCCCGAGCTTCTCGTACTCGTCGGGGTTGGACGGCACGAGCGTTAGATACTCGGCGGGAATGATCTGATCCGTGTCGATGTTGTCCTCCAGCACGAAGCACTTGCCGCGGATGATGCGCCCGGACGGCTCAGATCCGTCGCCGCCCGCCATCGCACGGACGGGAGTGACTGCCGCGGCGCTAGCAGATCTCGAGGGGCGGGAGGTCTGGCGCGCGCATTGGCGGGAAAGCGAGGTAAGAGTCGGGGAAGTGGAGCTGAGGGACGAGAGTGCGCGGCAGGGTAAGGCGGCTGGCAACGAAACGCTGCTAGATGGTTGGCTCAAAGGCGCTGCAGCGGCCGGCATAACGAAGGCAGCGGTCGCGTGAGACGCCATTTGGCACGCCATTTTCCAGCGGTGCGTCGGACAAAGTATGGGAGCGTAATAAAAGCACGGGAGCTCACGGATAAAACGTGAGACCTGATGTGAAAGGCGGGATAGGTCACGGTTGCTTGGGTGTCTGTTCATATCAAACCCTGAACCGTTGCCCGAGATTCAGCATCCGCGTTGTTGGCGTTCCACTTGTGGAGTTGACAATACACTGAGCCTGTTAGTGCGATTTAAAGGTACCACTGGTTTGTAAACATACATCTAAAAGAGGTCCCAAAATTTGCCAAACGAAACCTTTTGTGGCGAACCTTGTTACGAAATTTGGTTAGATTGCACATTGGTTCGATGTGGGCTCCCTATTATTTGGAAAAGTCGTGACACATGGTCGAAATGGTGCGTACAATTGCGCCCCGAAGCGTGTTACGGACGACCTTTGCTCCACCGGTCGAACCCCTGAACCACTGAGTGGCCTGAGTCGTTTTCTGACTGTTCGCCACGAAGCCTCGTGACAGATTCTGGACCCGCGAGCTCGACGGAACGATGTTGAGCTGAGTGCAGTTGACATCCTAATGCAAACCAAGACCAACCTGCTTGCGCTAAACACTTCACTTAGCACGCGTGTAAGTACTTCAGTTCCGTTGACAGATCTTCGTTAGACCTAGATTCTAGGCTCCTGCCTCCAAGCCGCACAAGCATCTCCCCAGCGGTCGAGCTCATAGAATAAAATACTCTGATAACTACTGACCTGAGCTTGCCATTGCCCTAGCACTCCAAAGTGACCCATATTCCCAACGTCAAATCTCATCGTAGACTCAACCGCGACCTAGGATTTCCGCGGCTCGTTACGAGGACTCTGCAGCTCAGCGGCTTACCTGCTGCCCGGCTGTGCGTACCTGCTCACCGGCTGTGTGTACCGGCTGACCGGCTAACCGGCTGAGCCGGCTGTGCTGCGAACTACCTGCTGACCGGCTGCGCATATACCTGCGGAATGGCGGGGAAGGAGGGGAAGGAGACGGGCCTCGAGCCATACGTAGACCGTGAGTCGCCGTCCGCTCGCTCGCCGCTTCCCTGACTCTGTGATTTGCCGTCCGTTCACCTCTCAACACCCGTTATCTGTCTGTATTCCCCTCTACTTGTGTGCGCAATTGCCGTTGTGAATGACGATACACGTAACTAACGTCCGTGTGTGCGTGTGCTGCTGGTGTATTTGCTTGTGTGGTTGCTTGCGCGCGAGGTAACAACTGGGCGGGGGCTACTGGAGGGTGTGGCGCGGGGAGGAAAGGGGCTGTGCGGAGGGGAAGGGGGCTGTGGGGGCCTTGGGTGTGGGAGGGGTTGAGGGGCGTGGGGAGGGGCGGCTGGTGTCCGCGGAGGGGAGGGGGAGGAGTGGTGTGCGTGTGCAGTGACTGTGTCGGTGATCACCAATGACGGCCGCAACATCGTGGTGAGTGAGAGCTACTCTTCGAAACTGTTTTGAAACAGTACTGATGACACGCTCATCCATTTTGGAGTGTTCAACTCCACTCATTTGACGAGCATTCAGACAGGCCTTTCGAGATCAACAAGCTTCCGGTAATAATCTGCTGTCAGCTTTTCCTCTCTTAGCCTCATTCACCACTCCACCTGAACCTGGCGATTCCTTCAAGTGTCTCCACTTTATTCTCACATCACACCTCCCATGCTCTCCTGCGTGCGTGTGCGTGCTGGCACGTGCAGGGGGTGCTGAAGGGGTTTGACCAGGCGACCAACATCATTCTGGACGAGTCACACGAGCGCGTCTACTCCACCAAGGCAAGCCCGCCTCCATGCCTCCATCCGTATTCACTCCCACCGCACCGCCATGCCACCTCATGCCCACGCTTTCTCGTTTCTACCCTGAGCATCCACCTTTTTTTCTATCACACCCCACTTGTGTCCACCTCCCTCCTGTCTCTGCTGGCCCCTTCCTCCTCCTTTCTCTTTTTATAACGCCCTGCCCTGCCCGCTCTGCTGCTTCCATGCGTGACATCCTCGTAAGGCTGCCCATTTTTATTTCCCTACATTTCTCTCGCTGCCTTTAAAGCATCCCGTTGCTGCATTCATCTTCCTTGTCTGCATTACCCCTTGTCCTCTCCACCTCGCCTACGCTTCTCCCGGTTGCTGCCTCTCCCATTCCCTCTGCACTTCTGCTGGTCGCGCCAAGAAGCCCCCACTTGTGGCCGACTCCCTCTCTAGGCCTCCGTGCAACAAGCAGCGGTGGCATGCTTGCTCACGAGGAGCTGTCAGTGTTGAGTTGCGGCGCCTCAGAGAAGCCTTTCTGCGTTGCTCTATTTTGTCACATCTCCCCCTCCGCGGTGCAGCACGGTGTGGAACAGCTGGTGCTGGGGCTGTACATCATCCGCGGTGACAACATGTACGCCTCGTGGGGGGTTGGTGGGGACATGGGCAAGACATGAGGGGGTGATGAAGACATGGGCGGGACATGATGGGATGATGGGGGCATGGGCGGGACATGAGAGCTTGATGGGGGCATGGGCGGGACATGAGAGGTTGATGGGGGCATGGGCAGGACATGAGAGGTTGATGGGGGCATGGGCGGGACATGAGAGGTTGATGGGGGCATGGCGGGACATGAGAGGTTGATGTGGGCATGGGCGGGACATGAGAGGTTGATGGGGGCATGGGCGGGACATGAGAGGTTGATGGGGGCATGGGCGGGACATGAGAGGTTGATGGGGGCATGGGCGGGACACGAGAGGTTGATGGGGGCATGGGCGGGACATGAGAGGTTGATGGGGGCATGGGCGGGACATGAGAGGTTTATGGGGGCATGGGCGGGACATGAGAGGTTTATGGGGGCATGGGCGGGACACGAGAGGTTGATGGGGGCATGGGCGGGACATGAGAGGTTGATGGGGGCATGGGCGGGACATGAGAGGTTGATGGGGGCATGGGCGGGACATGAGAGGTTGATGGGGGCATGGGCGGGATATGAGAGGTTGATGGGGGCATGGGCGGGACATGAGAGGTTGATGGGGGCATGGCCTGGACATGAGAGGTTGACGGGGGCATGGGCGGGACATGAGAGGTTGATGGGGCCATGGCCTGGACATGAGAGGTTGATGGGGGCATGGGCGGGACATGAGAGGTTGATGGGGGCATGGGCGGGACACGAGAGGTTGATGGGGGCATGGGCGGGACATGAGAGGTTGATGGGGGCATGGGCGGGACATGAGAGGTTGATGGGGGCATGGCCGGGACATGAGAGGTTGATGGGGGCATGGGTGGGACATGAGAGGTTGATGGGGGCATGGGCGGGACATGAGGGTGTGATGAAGACGAGTGTACCATTGTGCTGGTAAAAAAATTCCACTCTCATGCCGATCAAGTACCCGTTCCTCACAATCCCCCCTCGTTGGTGCCTTCTCCCTCGCCCCACTACCTCCACTTCCCTCTCCACCTGTGCACCTCCTCCTGCCTTCTCCTCACCCTATTCGTTGCCCTCCGCCAATATGTCTGCACCCGCGTGCGATACGATGCAGAGCGGTGGTGGGCGAGTTGGACGAGGACCTCGACTCAAGTCTCGACTTCGATGCTCTCAGAGCGCAGCCGCTGCAGCCCGTGTGCCACTGATGGCACGTGTTTCCCGACATCCATTTTCTTTCTAACAAGGGGTTAACCTTGGTGTTTTGTACGTTGTTTTTGGATTTTCACTCTGTAATAAATATTAGGGTCGCAAACAATAACAGCATGCGTCAATCCTCTTCGAATTTGTACTGATTTCAGGATCCATGCTTACATTGTTGATGCTGTATGAATCACTTTGCATTCTGTGATGCTACACGAATATCTTTCAAGCACTGCAATTGTGTTTGTATCGGACTACACTGTCCAGCGGTTGAAAATCTGCATTCTCGATCGCTCCCGTCAGCCGTGACGCATTCAATTTTGTCCCATCCTCCTATCCGTCCATCCAGTGACCACGCGATGGCTGGCGCCTTCGCGTCCATGCTCCGAGCTCGCCTCCCCGCACTGCGCGCCGCTGCAGCCGCCACATCGTGTGTCGCCGCAGCTGCAGCATCAACCTCGTTAGAAGCAGCTCCGGCAAGGTCGTCTGCAGCTCCAGTGTCAGCTGGCGACGAACGCGAGGAGTCGAAGGCGAGCTGCGGCGGCGATGGCGTGCGGGATCGCAGTGACAGCTGCGGCGGCGGCGGCGGCAGGAGTTCGCGTGTAGAGCTGACGTGCGGTGGGTGTGGCTTTCGACTCGCGCGAATTCAGGTCCAGTCAAGACCGTTGACGTGGACTCAGGTCAACAGCAGTCGTCTCAAGCCGTTATCTTAGCTCCCAGCGTTGCGAGCTCGACTCAGCTTCTAGAATCGCGGGTCTAAGCCGTTCTGCTAGACGTGGCGGCGGTTTGGCTGATAGAGCGGAATTGATTTGATGTCACGAGTGGCGACATCTGGATGAACGTCACTAGACCGTGCATGCCTTTTCCCATCCAAGGATGCCTCTTCCCATCTCCGAACCGCACGTTTGCCCCTTCTTTCTCCACTTGAATTGTTCTTTAAAGCCCTCGTAAGAGCCCAACGTCCTCTCCCTCTCTTCCCTAGCTTGCCCTGCTTCCCACCCTGCCTTTTGACTTCCCATCCCATGCGCCTCTCCTCTCCCTCATGCGTGCTGCACATCAGGCGCGCTTCACGTCCCCCTGCCGCTAGACAAGCTCATGTGCCACGTTGCAGGCACTGGTAGGCCGCAAGACGCCAGCGGCAACTCGTTGTTCAAAGGGCAGCCTCCTGGCGACCACCCTCAGGCGGTTCTGCTGCTTCCTGGAAGCTTCAACCCGCCCACGATTATGCACCTGAGGATGCTGGGTGCGTGGGTGGCTGGTAGAGGGTCCACGGGGAGTCAGCTCAGGTCAGGGTGGGCATTGCAGAGAGCCATCCGAGTTCATCTCTTCAACAAGAGAACGATCAGTGATCGATCGTACTTTTTACACCATAATGTGCAGTCAGCAGCCATGCTAGTGCATTGAAAGGGCTTGGCGGTGGGGGTGGAAGTCGGGGGTTCCTTCCAACCATCCACATGCCAGATCACTCTGGCACTTGAGTCTCACCACCTATGCCACTGCGGCCTCTGAAAGCTCGCCAGACCTGCTTCTGCACACTCACTGCCACTTCTTTCCTGCTCGCTCCAACAGTCTCTCACTTGCCAATCCCCTAACCTTTCGGGCCGTAAAAAAGAGGCTATGGCTAAGACATGGCAATCAGGTTTGTTGAGGTCAGTTGTGTGGTGGAACGCCCTGCTGCCCCTCGCCCCTCCCTCCCGCCTTGTCTGCAGAGATGGCACGGGATGCACTGCAGGACCGCGGGTGGGACGTGGTTGGTGCGTACATGTCGCCAGTCAATGACCAGTACGGTAAACAGGTGCGCTTGTAACGACACGAGTATGAAATAGTGGCATGCATGCGGGCATCAGCATGCCTTCTTGCGTTTCATCTCATCGCCATGCATCTCATCGCCATGCATCTCATCGCCATGCATCTCATCGCCATGGCTGTCCACCGTTCGCTGCTGACCCTCATCTTGAATTGAGTGTGGCCCCTTGTCGCCCTCCCACGGCCCCCTTTGATCCTCTGCCCCTTCCTCCTCTCCATCCTTCCCACGCTCGGCCCTCTCTTCTCATGCGCACCCCACAGGGCCTTGCCCCCGCCAAGGAGCGGGTAGCCATGTGCCAGCTGGCATGCGCTGATTCGCCCTTCATCATGGTCGACCCCTGGGAGGTGCGTGCGCGCAGGTTCCTGGAAGGTGGGCTTGGCCTGTCACGCTCTTGTGACCTCCCACACACCCACTCCTCTCTCCATACATGCATGCATGCATGCATGGCGGCGCGGTTGCTGGCAGCGGGTGAAATCAAGCTGTGTTGGCGGCATCTTCTCGCCGTCTTCCATCCTTGACTGCTGTGACGTCGCAACACCTGGCAAAGCAGTGCAGCACGTCTTTCACTCTCCGCGTCCTCTCTTCTCCTTTACAACCGTCCACGTTCACTTCCACATGTGCTTTTTGCTGCTCTCTCCTTCCCCTCCCCTCTATTTCCATGGCTTCCTGCTATCGTCCCTCACCTCCCAACGTCCTCTCTGCCGCCATCTCTGCCTGTTCCCATGGTCCGAGTGCAGGCATCCCAGCAGTGCTACCAGCGCACCCTCTGTGTGCTGCGACGACTGCACCAAACACTCAATGCCCCGCCTGCTCCAACACCCTCCTCTGCCGCCCAAGCTCCATCCTCTGCCGCCCAAGCTCCATCCTCTGCCGCCCAAGCTCCATCCTCTGCCGCCCAAGCTCCATCCTCTGCCGCCCAAGCTCCATCCTCTGCCGCCCAAGCTCCATCCGCCGGCGCTCACCCATTGTCTCCCATGCATTCTCAACCAGCACTGAGAAACCAGTCATCCTCATCGCCACTTGCCCCACACCCAACCTCGCATCCGCACCCATTCCCACCCTTTTCAACACCTTCACACCCACTCCCACCCTCCCCAGAATCCCCACACCCGCACCCGCCTCTGCATGCTCACATGTGGGCGCTTGAGGGCGCCTCGGGTGAGTCCCCCTCGCTGCTGCCCACTGCTGCTGCTGGTGCACGCGGGTGGGGGGGAGGCGCGGAAGGAGGGCAGGGAGGCGGGGAAGGGGGAAGGGCCGGAGTCGAGGGGAGGGAAGGAGAGGGAAATAGAGAGGAGGGCGGAGTAACAACATTTGATAGGGGAGAGGACGATGGGGGCCAGGGTGTGAGTGGCGTGGGGGAATTGAGGAGAGAAGAGGGCAGGAGGCATTTGACGGGAGTGGTGGCAAGTGGCGTGAAGGGCGAGATGAGGGAGAGCGGTGGGGGAGTGGGAGGGGAAGGGGTAGAGGCAGCAGAGGGGCAGAGGGTTGGCGAGGGGAGGGTGCAGGTGATGCTGGTGTGCGGGGCGGACCTGTTGCAGTCCTTCACCCAGCCGGGCGTGTGGGTGCCCTCCCATGTGAGTGTGCTGCGCGTGTGAGTGTGCTGCGTGTGTGAGTGTGCTGCGCACGTGAGTGTGGTGCACGTGTGAGTGTGCTGCGCGTGTGAGTGTGCTGCCCATATGACTGATGTGTGGTGGTGTCGTATGGCATGGCATTGCATGGTATGGTACGGTATGGTATGGTATGGTATGGTATGGTATGGTATGGTATGGTATGGTATGGTATGGTATGGTATGGTATGGTATGGTAATGTACTACGGTATGGTATGGTATGGTATGGTTATGGTATGGCATGGCATGGCATGGCAGGACAGTGCATGGTATGGCATATGGCATGGGATAGGCATGGCATGGCTTTGTACGGTATGGCATGTGATGGCATTGTCATAGCATGTCAGTTCGCCATTGCCATCCATGGCACTCACCGCTCCCATGCCAGGCATCCCAAGGGAAGCCGTTGTCAATGCATGACATGGCATGGCATGGCATGACGTGGTATGGCATGACGTGGTATGGCATGACGTGGTGTGGCAATGTGAGAGCGGCCCTGATGAGGTCCATCCAGGCCGTCAAAGTAACCCTTTCCACACATCGCATCCCTACATACTCCAATCACCCCCACCCGTCTCCCCAATTCCCCCTTCCGCCCCAATCCCCAGATGTGCCATACCCCCCATGTGCCATACCCCCCATGTGTCATACCCCCCATGTGCCATACCCCCCATGTGCCTGTCAGAACACGCTCTTAACTATTGACTTAGTAACTTAGGGTTTACCTAGGAAGCGTGAGTGTCGAGAGTGAGCATGGCAAGAGAATTGGGCAAAGAGGGGATTCACTAAGGAATGTTTACAAGATATAGGATAGGGGAGAGGATAGGGTACACCACCAGCAGTTGAACCTAATAACTAACTAATACACTAGCAAGCTGTAGGCAGTTAGGATATGCAATATAATTCAACAGTGCCATACCCCCCGGATGTGCCATACCCCCCGGATGTGCCATACCCCCCATGTGCCATACACACCATGCGCCCCACCCCCTCGGACCGCATGGCAGGTGGAGGAGGTGGTGGGAGCGCACGGGGTGGTGTGCATCGCACGGCAGGGAGCTGACGCGCACCAGCTCGTGCTGCACTCTCACCTTCTTCACCGCCACCGCGTGAGTTCATGTCACGCGGGGTGTGGGGGAGTGATGAAGGGGGGGAGAGAGGGAGACAGGAAGTGGGGGGAAGATGGAGTACTGTGCAGCTCATGCGTGGATGTGTGAGTGGCAGTGGTTCCACTGCTGTGAGTGACTGGTGTGAGTGGCTAGTGTGAGTGGCTAGTGTGAGTGGCTGGTGTGAGTGGCTAGTGTGAGTGGCTAGTGTGAGTGGCTGGTGTGAGTGGCTAGTGTGAGTGGCTGGTGTGAGTGGCTGGTGTGAGTGGCTAGTGTGAGTGGCTGGTGTGAGCGGCTGAAGGGTGTTTAGCTGTGCCTGTCGCATGCACGCCCGCGTGTGCTTCCCCAGCACGTGCATCCCCACGCACCCCTCCACACACCTCTCCGTTCCTGCAACGCTTTGACTCGCATGAGCCGGCACTTGACTTGGGTCATGCCGTTAGATAACCTCCTTCCTTTCCAGTGCCCATTCGGCGAAGCAATACTGTGGGAGCTGATGTAGGGCCGTGCGGACGACGCGCCCCAGGGCCACATGTGCTCTCTCCTCCATGCTGCCTCCTCACCCACCTCTTCCCTCGTGCCCTCTCCCCGTACCGCTACCCAGCACAACATCCTTATAGTGGATCAGCCTATAGAGAACAACGTCAGCTCTTCCCACATCCGGTACCTCCCCCTACTCCCCTACTCCCCTTCACCCCACATGTGTCTCGCTCTTTTTCTCCGCTGCCCCATGCCCACCACCTTGCCCCCTTGCACGCCTGTCGACATGACTCTTTCACCTTTGCAGCACAGAGTGCGAGTCATACCTTTGCACACCTGCTCACTCCACTGACAGCCGCTTGATGCACTTCGGTTGACCATCTTGAAAGCACACTATGGTTGATATTGCGCTCGCTTTTGCACTTGCCTCATCTCCTCACTTTGGCTGCCCCTTTCTCAACTCCCTCCCCGGGCACCTCACATCATTTCGCCACCACACTCCACCGCACTGCACCCATACCATGCCTCTCATGCGCCTGCGCGCATGTGTGCAGGCGGCTGTTACAGCGGGGCCTGTCAGCCAAGTACCTCGTGCCAGACGCAGTACTGCATCACATTCGTGCAGCTCGCCTCTACGAGTGTGCGGACCAGGGCCTCCCACTTGAGTGAGCGTAACGGTCAACCAATTGCCCTTGTGCCACACGTGGTGCCTGGAGAAAAATCGGTACAAGGGGCAGGTCTGTACGGCAGCACTTACCGTACCAGGCTTTCAGTTCTGTTTGACGAACAAGGTATCAGGTGTGCTAGGTCTGCACATGTTCAGAAAACAAGTCTGGTTGATGTGACTTGTACGGTTTGTACAGTAACTTTTGTTATACAGTAGTGCTCACATGAATGTACAATTATAATATCTTCCTGGGCTATTTACCCGTTTTATTATCGCTCACTAGAAGGGTCGGATCATGGATATGCAAGGTCCCCATACCTAATGTAACATAATAAACATCCGGAATAGCCTTATTAAAGCTCTCATAGTAAGACCTCTCCAAGAGCTTTTTCGGCCCAACTTCACTCCTCGGGCAGCTCTTGAAATTCGGCCGGGCCTTGTAAAGCGACGACCCCTTTCTCACGCCCAAGTCGTCCTCCACGAAATCCAGGAACTGCGCATCAGCGACGTTGGTGACGTTGATGAAGCGGTGCGAGTTGAGGCGCGGCGTGTTGGGCAGGTCCTCGCAGTACTTGAAGTCCATGTCGTAGTCGAGCGCATTGACGAGCACGAGCATGAGCGAGTTGCGCGTGGGCAGCCCGCTGCACTTGCCCGTCTGCGTGGCGTTGAGGGTTCCCCGCGCGTTGGTGTTGCACGGCACGCCGTTCACGCCCGTCTCTGAGCACACCGTTTGCATCCATGGCCAGTTCTGATGTGAATAGGGGGGTGCAAGGGAGCAGCGGGGTGGCGTGGAGAGATGGGTGAGGAAGAGAGAGGAGGGCGGGTGAGACAGGCGGCAATGATGGGTGTGGTAAAAGTGGCAATGATTAAGGGTGTGGGGAGATCAAGCCTACCGCACTGTAATCCCGCTTATTGCATCTTCAACCACAGAACCTACTCAAACCCCGTCAAAAAACGATCTCAAAGGCGATCGATCCTCCCCAGATCGTCACTTTTACCACGCCCTAAGGCTCTCTGGTCCTACGTATGCATGCTAAGAGGTTGCGTGATGGGGAGGGTGGTGGAGCCAAAGAGAGTGAACAATTGGAAGTGGGGCGTGTAGGGTTGCACGAGAGGGACACGTGGCGAAGCAGAGCAGGGGAGCACGGGCGTGGTGTGGTTCATGTTGCACGCACCTGGTTGAACTGGGCCGAGTTGTAGTACTTGCGGCGCATCTGCTCCCAGTACGACCCGGGCTTCTTCCCACCGTTCACCACCTCCGCTGTGAGGCACGTGGACCACCCGGGCGTCCAGCGCGCGTTCTTCACCACCACGTCCTCTATCACGTTGCTGCCCCGTTGTCACGGGGCGCAGGGACGGTGGGGAACATGAGAGCAACACGATGAGTTATGGCGAGTGGATTGGCTGCGTGGATGCATCTCGTGACTGTTTGGTAGTAGTGGTTGTGGCATTACACTGACGTGGCTCAATGCAATGCAGAGCGAGTGCAGGAGGGTACGGGCCATGAAAGAGAAATGCTTCAAGCTGCTACACCGCCACCCTTCAAGCACACCCTTGCCACTCGCAGAATGCCCCCCTCCCAATCACCTCTTGCCACTCGCACCATGCCCCCCTCCCAATTACCTCTTGCCACTCGCACCATGCCCCCCTCCCAATTACCTCTTGCCACTCGCACCATGCCCCCCTCCCAATTACCTCTTGCCACTCGCACCATGCCCCCCTCCCAATTACCTCTTGCCGTTGTTGACCTTCATGCCCGCGTACGTGTCAATGCACGCGCCCCCTCGGATGGTCACACCCGACGACGCGAAGTCCAGGTAGTAGCACTGGTCGCCGCCGATCACGTAGTTGCACTCCGCTAGGTTGCCTGTTGCCGTGGGGCGGGGGGGTGATGGGGGAGGGGGGGTGATGGGGGAGGGGGGGTGATGGGGGAGGCGGGAGAGGAGAAGGAGAAGGTGTGTGTGCATGGTGGCAGCGCAGCCAAGGCAGAGGCAGCGACGATGGCAGTAGTGGTGAGAGTGAGTGGCGAGCCTGCAGGCACTGTGGTTCCGCATGGCATGGCATGGCATGGCATGGCATGGCACAGCAGTAAGCAGGGTTGAAGCAGCAATGCGCGGAGTCTGTCTGACCAGGGTTGAACCAGTGCGTGTTGAAGTAGATGCCCGAGGCGTCCATGTCGCCGCTGATGTTCCGCCCCGTGGCCACCACCAGGTTGTTGGAGATGGTGGACAGCATGCAGTCGCCCACGTACGACACGAACGCACCGCACACGATGCCCGCGAATATGAAATCGTGCACGTAGTTGTTGCTCACCGTCACTCCCACCGCCCCGAAATACAGCACTATGGGGAAACGTGCGCCTGGCGAGAGAGAAGGCAGGGGTGGTTGGCCGGAAGAGCATGGCCCCGATGGGAAGAGGAGGGCCCAGGTGGGATGAGGAAGCACAGATTGTTTGAGTGAGCGACATTTGCCTGCTGGGTCATTTGCAAGTGTGACATTGGCTTGGAGCATCATGGCAACGCATACAACAAGAGCATGGAGGTGAGACAGCTGGGCTCGGAACACCTGCCAGCAGCGCAGCGCAGAGTGACGCACCGAAGACCTCGTTGTTGCTGATGACGACCCCGCTGCGCTGCATGGTGGGGCCGTGGCCGCAGAAGGCGACGCGGATGAGCCCCTGGCCGCGCTTGAAGTCGCCCACCCCCGTGACCTTCATGCCGTCCACACGCACCGCCACCGACCAGTACACGTCCACCCGCCCGTACACCGTGCCGCGCGCCACCTGCACGTTGGCTGACTGTTGTGGGGGGGAGGAAGAGCAGCAGGGGGCAGTGGAGAGCAAGCGCTTCAAGTGGCTGTTTTGATGATGAGTGCGTGGGGGTTGGTGTGGGGCAGATGGCGGGCCCAGTGCGGGCGTGATGCCACCCACCCACCACGGCACGTCCACCCGCGCGTACACCGTGCTCCATGCCCCCTGCCCCTTGGCCGCCTGGCGGGGGGAGAAGTAGCGGCGGGGAGCAGAGGTGGAGAGCAAGCGCCTCAATCCGCGGTCTTGCTGATAAGTGCCTGGCGCCTGATACGTGGGGGGGGATGGTTTGGAAGCGCGTGGAACGCACCCTGATACTCGCACATGTGCGCTGGTGATTGGGCATTGGTGGCGGGATGCATGGCATGGCGAGGTGTGTGGAATAAAACTCCTCATTCATGCATGCTTGTGCCGTGTAGCAAATAGCGGATGGTGCGTCACCTGGTAGATGTGGATGACGTCACCTGGTAGATGTGGATGACGTCACCTGGTAGATGTGGATGACGTCACCTGGTAGATGTGGATGACGTCACCTGGTAGATGTGGATGACGTCACCTGGTAGATGTGGATGACGTCACCTGGTAGATGTGGATGACGTCACCTGGTAGATGTGGATGACGTCACCTGGTAGATGTGGATGACGTCACCTGGTAGATGTGGATGGCGTCACCTGGTAGATGTGGATGACGTCACCTGGTAGATATGGATGACGTCACCTGGTAGATGTGGATGGCGGGGCAGATGACGTCTGTGCCCACATACGGGATGCCCTGGCACGCGTTGGTGTCAAGGGCGTAGGGCTGGAAGAAGGAGACGCGCAGCACGAGCACGTTGCTGGCGCCCGCTATCCACAGCAGCGGCGCGTCCGTGCGCATGAGCGTCAGCTGGAAGCCGCGTGCGGGGCGGGCGGTGGAGCGCAGCACGGTGCAGGCGAAGGACGCGTTGAAGAGCAGCGGCGCCGTGAGCAGGATGTGGTTCTGGAGCTCCAGGACGACCGTGACGGTGGGCGGGTACTTGAGGCGGCGGGCGAAGTCGTTCTCCGAGTTGACTGCGATGATCACTGCTGTGGTGAGCGGCGTGCATGGTAGCCCGCTCGATGGCGGCTGGCGCCCTGTAGAGGTGGTGGGTGGGGGTGTGTGGGATGCCATGACATGCCATGACATGCCATGACATGACCATCACATTACCACACCGCACACGACATAAGACATGAGATCACACCACATCACATCACATCACATCAGTCCCACACAGCGCCCAAATCCACCCACAGCGTCACACGTGTTCAGTTCAGCCGCACGCATGCCTCGCCTACATCACCTCACTGCCCACGCGCAATCAATCCCCTCTCCTCCGCGCCTTCCCCCTTACATCACTCACTATCCCCCTTGCCCCTCTCTCTTCCCTCCCCTCCCCCTCCCCTTTCCCCCTATCCCCCCTCCCGTAGCCCCCACTTACGGATCGTCTGGGGGCTGATGCGCGGCTCAGCGAACGGCCACGCGCCATTGCCCGCGCCCCTCCCGCCGTCGGCCGTCATCCCCGCCTCCTCCGAAATGGCGGGCCAATCAGGTTCGTACACCTGCGCCAGCGGCCTGTGATTGGCCCACGACACATCCACCCATGGCCGTCTCTTGCCCGTCCGCCCCCGCCCGCGCATCGACTTCCCCCACGCGCTGCTGCGCGCCTTCGCCGCGGCCATGGCGGCCTGCGCCCGCTCGTACGCGCTGGCGCCCGCTTCCCCTCCGCCGCCACCTATGCCGCCTAAAGCCCCGCTCCTGCTGCTGCTGCTGCCGCCGCTGCCGCTGGTGAGGACGATAGTTTCATCGCCGCTGCTCGCAATGCTCGCCGCCCGCACAGTGCTGCTCCCCTCTCCTCCTCCTCCGCCTCCTCCGCCCCCTCCGCCCCCTCCGTCCCCCTGCCCTTGTGCGCGCTTGAGGTGGTTGCGCAGAAAGGGCGGGAGGCGGCGCACGTGGTAGTGGTAGCGGTAGAAGCTGTTGGGGGTGGCGCCTGGGGTCACTGGCAGGGACGCGCGTGTGACGGGGAAAGGGGGGAAAGGGGGAAAGGGTGCAGGGGAAGCGGGAAAGGTGGGGCGGGTGGTTGAAGAGGGCCGCGTGGAATTTGAGTGGTGGCGGAAGGAGAGGGGGGTCACGCAGGGCTCGGGGAGGGGAGCAAGAGGGGGCAGGGCGTGAGGAGGAGGGGAGCGCCATGGAGCGCTGTGCACGCGATGGCAGCGGTGCAGTAACGTGGAGCCACGGCGAGGCCGGCAGCACTGCACCGCATAACGCCGACCTACCCACTCTGCCGTGAATGCGCAGGGCGCATGTGGGGAAGGCATATACGGGGAAGGCGCATATGGGGAAGGCGTATACGGGGAAGGCGCATATGGAGAAGGCGTATACGGGGAAGGCGCATATGGAGAAGGCGTATACGGGGAAGGCGCATATGGAGAAGGCGTATACGGGGAAGGCGCATATGGAGAAGGCGTATACGGGGAAGGCGCATATGGAGAAGGCGTATACGGGGAAGGCGCATGCGGCGTGCGTTGAGGGAACTCATAGTGCCACCAGATGACCTTTTTCGAAGTCGACACGAGCATTCAGCGATCTACACGCACCTGGGGCAGCAGCAACCGCGGGGGTGCTGTGTTGCGCGAGAGAGAGCAGCGCGCCGACAAGCAGCAGTGCCGTGTCGCGCCACGCGGACCCCGTGCACGACGGCGGGCCGCGAGCCATGCGGGTCGGACTTGTAGCGTGAATCGTCTAGGGACGGGTAGGCCGCAAATGTGAATTCGACCAGCAGCGCAGATGGACGCGCACGATTGGGTTGCCGCGCCAGCGAGCCGCGGAGCTGTCGCTAGTGACGCGGTACTAATGGCGATGCAACGCGACGCGAGGTGACGCTGCGGCGATGCTGAGAACGAATGTGACAAGGGAGCCGTGCGGGATCTGTGGCGAATCTACGTGGACGAGTCTAACGACGGCGAGCGTTCGTAGGCTCGGCAGGGCGCAGGTGGTCGCGCTGCGCTCCGAGCGGTACTATGGTGGACGCTACTTTCAGTTCCGCAGAACCGCTTGTAGCGAGAACGAGTTTCTCCTTGGTAGTCTCTAGGGTAGCAATCTGAGAGGTCCTGCAGACGCGGAAAACAACAAAACTAGGTCGCGCGTAAAAACAACACTTGAAATTTTGAAGGGCGCGCAGAGGAGGAAGAACAAGCGGTTCAAGATGCGGAGGGCACCGCGCGACGCCGCGAGCTGGAAAGGAACTATCCGCGAGGGAGGACGGCCTTTGATTGCGCCGCTGCGCGCTTGGACTTGCGATGAGTTCGGAGCGGGGTGGGTTCCGTCGGCGCCTTGGGTGGCGACTGGTGAAGGTGAATCGTGCTACCATCCATGCATCCATGCATTGCTCCATTCTTGCGATTGCGAGGGACAGCATGACGAGGGTTCGGCGCACTAGCCGCCCAGACCCAGACACACGGCCCATGACTGCCCGTGTCCACTCCTCCCCTCTCTCTCCTACGGAGGCGACCAAGGGCGTGCGGAGTGGGGAGGTGCAGTACGGACGGATGGGTACTGCCCAGCAAATCCTGCTTGCAGCTGTTCGCATCAGTGTTTGGTGTAGGTGTGCGGAAGGGCATGTGGGGGAGTGAGGGGAGGGGAGGCTAGGGAGTGAGGGAAGGCTAGGGAGGATTTTAGGGTACGCAGAGGTGGTTGTTGGCCCGGTTTGACGCAGCACACAGCCTTCCGTTCGCTCTCCACCGTTTGATTTTGAATCACAACGGGTAAATTACTGTTTCTGTACTGTAATTCGATAGTGTACAGTGGCTATAGCCCCACTGGAGGCCAGCTGTGGGGTGGAGGTGGGCCTGAGGGACGATCTTTGGAGACGATTCGCCAACAAACTCCTCGCCCTTCCGACCTGTAGATTACAGGGCAGAATTGGTGATGCTTGCAATTCTGGCCGCGTCGACTAGCCGCTATTATCATGCAGCGATAACTCGATGAATACACCAAGAGAAATGGAACTTGTGACGCTTGTCCCAATACATTGTAAATCAGGTTCTGTTTGTCCGCTCCTTATTCACTGGAGTATTGACAAGCCAGAACCACAATGTCAATGCTTGATAATTTACCGGGGGGGCACAGCACAACGCACCAGAACCATATGAATGCACACCACAACCATAGAAGAGTCACAATCTAAATAGCGCATGGTGGCAGCGTGCAAGGTGTCGCACAAGAGTCAGCATGCGACTCTGGAAGTCACACAGGAAGTCCCCTTCTGTCATCTCCCCAGCACCGCAACCATCACAGCATGTTTCAAGGTGTGCACTCGCTGAGCAGAAACTCCCTGTACAAGCACTCTCCGTGCACCGATGTGCCCTTGCCATTCATTCCACCCATCCCACCACCTCCCTGCACTCCCCCTTTCACCGGGCCCCAGAAACCCCCCTTCCCCCTCCCCCTCCCCCACCCTCTGGAACCGCCATTGCGTGCAGCGGGGCTGGACTCATCCCCAGCAGCCCCACCCATGGCCGCCAGGTCCACACACGACTGCACGCGCTGGCAGCTCAACATGCCCACCCCACCCGGTAACCCACCGCGATCCGCATGACCCGCCCCAGCACTAGCAGCAGCAGGCAGTGTGGTAGCACCATTGCTTGCACCGCCCCCCACCGCCCCTCGCCCCTGCTGCCGCCCACCTGACTGGGGCGAGACACCCAGGGCCAGAGGGCTCTTCCTTTGGCCAACGGGTGACTGCCACGTCATCCCGGCTCCGCCCGCACTGGCGCGGGCGTTGAGTCGTCGCGCCCAGCCACCAGCGTTGTCGCTGTGCGTGCTGGCGGACGGCGAGCGAGGAGACAGCGGCCCTCGAGGGGCAAGCAGGGCTGCACTGGGGGCGCCCATAGCCCCCACCACATCACCATCTGCACTAGGGCTCGCCATGTCCTCCTCCTCGCCCTCGCCCTCCTCCCCACCCGTCCTCAGCAGCCCCAGGCGCCGGGCCATGCGGAAGCTTCCGCGCAGGCTGCCTCCGGGGCTGGGCGCGCCTGCTGCTGCCGGGCTGGGCGCCCCGCTGCCGGGCATCATGGTGAAGAACCGCCGTGACCCGTGCTGGCTGCCGCCCGCCCTGCCCTCCTTCCCTGCCCCACTGCCTTCCTCGTCCTCGTCCCTGCCTCCCAAGAGGCCGAAGAAGCGCCGGGACCCGTGCAGGCTGCTGCCACCGTCGTGCTGCTCGCCGTCCGTCGCCCTCATGGCACTGAAGAACCGCCTTGACCCGTGGACACTGCCGCCGTGCACACTGCCACCACTCTCTGCTTCCCTCTCCCCCTCGCCTGCCCTCACGAGCCCAAAGAACCGCCGTGACCCGTGAAGGCTACCGCCATGCACACTGCCGCCTCTCTCACCTTCCTTCTCCCCCTCGCCTGCCCTTATAAGCCCAAAGAACCGCCGCGAGCCACGATGGCTGCTCCCAGCCTCTACGCCCTTGCTCTCGCTCTCCGGACTAACCATCTTCCCCTTCCCCTTCGCCTTCCCCTCCCTCCTCCCTCCTCTACCTGCAGCAGCAGCATGGGCGACGGAGTGGGGGTGGTGGTGGGGATGATGGGGGTGGTGGTCGTGGGGATCATGGTGCAGGCGGTGCACGTCGTGGTGGCGCGTGACGAGGGCAGAGAAGTCAAGCAGGTCAAACAGGGGCACGGGAGGGATGGTAGCGGAGGACGATGACGGAGGCACGGCCGGGGGTTGATGGGCGAGAGGGGTGGTGGCTGCTCCCTGCTGCTGCTCCTGGCGCTGCTTCTCCAGTGCAGCAGCGATCCCACAGCCACCTCGCACACGCTCCTCCCTCTCCACTCCCGTCATCGCATGCCCGTGCACCATACTCGGCAGCACCACGGCCTGCTGAGCCATGACACTGCTGTGCACGGCCATGAGCTGCTGCGACAACCACTGGTGGCCCAGGGCGTCTAGGCTTGCAACCAGTGCTGGCAGACACAGCATGCCTGAAGGGGGGTACTGCTGCTGCTGCTGCTGCTGCTGCTTCTCACCCCTGTGGTCGCTCTGCCCCTCACCCGTGTCTCCTGCTTCGCTCACTGCCTCCAGTGACGTGCCGGGTGCTGACGTGGCACTCGCCAGCTGGCGCACGAGCTGGCGGAACTCCGACTCGCTGAGCTCCAGCGACAGCAGGGCAACGCACGCGCGCTGAAGCTTCCTGGTAGCTGCATACAGGCGGAAGCCTCGCAGCGACCCCTCCAGCTGCACGCCTCCCCTCACACGCCCCTCTCCTGTTGCCCCTCCTTGCACCAGCCCCTTCTGTAACACCGCCTCTTCCTCTTGCCCCACCCGTCTTGCCGCCACCTCCCCTTCCCTCTCCCCTCTCTCCCCATCCTCCTCTCCTGCCTTCCCTGTCCCCTCCTCCCGCGCCTCTGCTGCAGCCCCCGTCGCTCTCTCCCCCACACTCGCCTGCCCTCCGCCCGCCAGGAGCGCGGCACGAGGGTTGGCGACCCGGGCCTGAGGGCTCCCACGCACCGCCACAGCGGGCTGCGCCCAGTGCCCTGCAGCATCCCCTGTCACGGCCATGGCGCCACCCTCTGCACCACCCTCTGCAGCAACGGCTGCAGCGCCGGCCAGCCAGGGGTGGAGCAGCGCGTGGGCTGCTGTGGGGCGCTGGCAGGGGTCGGGCTCCAACAGGGCACGCAGGAACGACTGCGCTGCTGCTGAGGTCTCTCGGGGTAATGTTGGGACTATCCCTTTCTGATGAAGGGTGGATTGGGAAAAAAAGGAGGCGGGTAAGAATTGGTGCTTAATGTACCAGTGAAGGTGCTAAACGCAATGAGAACAACCAGAAGGCGCAGTGCTTGTCAAGCTTCTTAGCCTCGAGTACTGGGTACAGGCGACAGGGAGGCCCAGCGTTCAGCACATATGCCCCTGCCTGCACATTCACAGTGCCTCTCTCTCCCCTGCTGCGCGCCCCTCACCTGCATGGCCTGCCACGTGGCATTGGAGTGCACGGTGGCGCGAGTGAGTCCACTGGGGGGCGGCCCGGTGAGCAGCACGGCCACCACGGCGCCCGCACTCCACATGTCCGCCTGCGGGCCGTACGCATGGAGCCACACCTCAGGCGCGGCGTAGAACGCTGTGCCCATGAAGTCCCGCAGCACCACCGCGCCCTCTGCGCCCGGCACCACAGCCTTGCCATGCTGCACTGTGCTCTCAGGGCTCCCCTCTCGCTGCTCTGCCTTACTCCCCGCGCCCGGCGCTGCCTCTCCCGTGCTGCTGCTGCTGCTGATAGTGGTGCTGGTGTTGTTGGTGCTGGTGGTGGTGGTGGGGGCGGGGAGGAAGAGAGCAGCGCTGCCGAAGTCCACGAGCTTGATGGCGAGCGAGTGCGCATCCGACAGCAGTATGTTCTCCGGCTTCTGACAGGGGGGAAAGAGGGGGAGAGGAGGGGAGGGGAGTGGAGGGGAGAGGAGGGAAGGGGAGGGGAGGGGAGGGGAGGAGAGGGTAGGGGAGGGGAGGGGAGGGGAGGGGAGGGGAGGGTGTGCGGCGAGGGCAGGTGGTGTGAGCACGAGTTGGGAGGTGCAGGAGAGTTGGCCTCACACGCGAGTGCAAATCCATGACTGCCTCGCTTCCGCCGCCTCTGCCAAGCGATGGGCACATGGCTCACCTTCCCACCACTCTCCTTCTTTTGAGTCGACTCAAAAGCATGGCTCACCTTCCCACCACTCTCCTTCTTTTGAGTCGACTCAAAAGCATGGCTCACCTTCCCACCACTCTCCTTCTTTTGAGTCGACTCAAAAGCATGGCTCACCTTCCCACCACTCTCCTTCTTTTGAGTCGACTCAAAAGCATGGCTCACCTTCCCACCACTCTCCTTCTTTTGAGTCGACTCAAAAGCATGGCTCACCTTCCCACCACTCTCCTTCTTTTGAGTCGACTCAAAAGCATGGCTCACCTTCCCACCACTCTCCTTCTTTTGAGTCGACTCAAAAGCATGGCTCACCTTCCCACCACTCTCCTTCTTTTGAGTCGACTCAAAAGCATGGCTCACCTTCCCACCACTCTCCTTCTTTTGAGTCGACTCAAAAGCATGGCTCACCTTCCCACCACTCTCCTTCTTTTGAGTCGACTCAAAAGCATGGCTCACCTTCCCACCACTCTCCTTCTTTTGAGTCGACTCAAAAGCATGGCTCACCTTCCCACCACTCTCCTTCTTTTGAGTCGACTCAAAAGCATGGCTCACCTTCCCACCACTCTCCTTCTTTTGAGTCGACTCAAAAGCATGGCTCACCTTCCCACCACTCTCCTTCTTTTGAGTCGACTCAAAAGCATGGCTCACCTTCCCACCACTCTCCTTCTTTTGAGTCGACTCAAAAGCATGGCTCACCTTCCCACCACTCTCCTTCTTTTGAGTCGACTCAAAAGCATGGCTCACCTTCCCACCACTCTCCTTCTTTTGAGTCGACTCAAAAGCATGGCTCACCTTCCCACCACTCTCCTTCCCCGCTGTCCCCCTCTCAACTGTTATCCACTCAATCCGTGACCCCAGCATCCCAGCAAGCAAGCGAGCGTCAAATGTCGAGCTCCGTGTGAGCGCTCGCTCACTCGCCCCATCGCGGCATGCATGTGATTACTGGCCATGCCCAGCCAGCATGCGGCAGGCCTCACCAGGTCGCGGTGGGTGACGCCCCGCGCATGGCACAGCGCCACCGCCTGCAGCAGCTGCCGCGCTGATGGAGGGAGGGGGGAGCAGGGAGGGGGAGAGGGGAGGGGGAGAGGGGAGGGGAAGGGGGCACTGGGTCACGAAGAGAGCGGTTGAACTGGGAGTATATGGGGGAGTGGGCGTGGATGGGGAGGTGAGGGGGGATGGGGAGCGGGGGAGGTGCAGGGGGCTTCAATCAGAGATGGATGTGCGGGGCCGTCTGTGTGGCCCCCATGCACCAATGTGCACGTCATGCTGCCATATGAGTGCTCCCGCGACACACCAATGTGTGCAGCATCAGCCTCGGTGAAGGAGGAGCGCGCAGCGAGGGCCATGAAGAGGTCGCCGCCCTGGGCCTTGTCCGTGACGATGTGCAGGTGGCGGCTGTCCTCGTGCGTGGCCAGCAGGCGGATGATGGGCGGTGCGACCGGTGCTGGTGCTGCCCACAGCTGCCACGGGGAGAGGAGGTGGGCATGGAAGGGAGAGATGGGCGCAGTAGGAAAGAGAGCGGCTGTGTTGAGATGAGGTGTGGGAGGGAAGGATGAGGGAGGAATGGACGTGCATTGCGGTTGGGGAAAGGAGCTTGCTGATGAGAGGTGAGTAGCACTTGGGGAGGGCGCAGTGAGTGAGGCAGCAGGACAGCAGAGGAAGGAGGTGGACTAACGCACAGCGTATGACTGGAAGCGGCACAAGGTCGGCCGAAAACGAGAAGACGGTGTCAACGGAATGAGCGCAGGGAGTGTGAATGGGCGGAGAGCGAGGTGGAGGGAGAGTGGGATGAGATGAGATGAGATGGGGGCGAGGGAGGGAGGGAGCAGGCTCACCCGCTGCAGCGCCTCGATCTCGATGGTCTGATGGCGCCCGCAGCAGTGACGCGCAGCGGTGAGGCGCAGCGATCATGTGCAGAGATGGCAAGGAAGAGGTGAGGGGATAGGCACAGGGAAGAAGGGGGAAGCACGGGGGAGAGAGCATGACGGGGTGAGTTATCCGGGGGCAATTGACGTTAGGGTAGAAGTCAGAAGGAGCAGTAACGAAAGGAGGAGAAAGCATAGATAGGCAGATGCAGGAGTGATGGGTGGGATGGGCGCAGTGGGCGAGAGAGCAGCACTGACGCGGCTGATGTAGGCCGGGCGTGCATTGAGAACCTTCTTGGAACACGCCTTCACCGCCACCACCGCGCCCGTTGCCCTCTCCACCGCCTCCCTGCCCTCCCCCCACACACACAGGGATACGCAGTGATGGCGGTGGTGCGCGCGGGGCGATTGGCAAAAGGAGGGGGGAAGGGAGAGAAGGCAGGGGGAAAGAGGGTTCTTGGGAAGGCAGAGGCAGCGGTGAAGGGCACAGGGACCAAGACCAGAGGGGGAAGTGGGAGGGACGGGGAAGAGCAGGTGGGGATGAGGGGGCGCGGTGGTGGGGGGAGAGAGGGGGGCGTGCAGCGGGGCGGGCAGGGCGCGCACCTGACGGAGGCCACGCGGCCGCACCCCAGAGTGTTGCCCACCAGCTTGTAGTGAGCTTCCAAGGAACCTTCCGGGCCCACCTTGGTCGCTGACGTCAGCATGGGGTCCTTGACGTGCTTGTGAGGGGGAAGCGATGCTGACGTGGCGGCATGGAGTGACGACGAGGACGGCTCCACTGCCGTGCTGGACAGGCAGCAACCCATGGCGAATGGCGACAGCTGTGATAATAACGAGGGGCCAGGTGCCATGGGTGGAGCGTCGCAGCGTTCCAGGGGTCAACGGAGTCACTGCTTGGCGCTAGCGCGCTTCGCTGACGCGCAGCGCCCCGGTCATCGCTCAGCGAAGGCGGGCGGAGGTGGCCACCTGGACGATGACCCGCGACGCTCGCATTCACGCCGCGCTGCTTTCTCTCACTGCACGACGCGACGCGCGGGCGTGCGCATGGGCGCTCTTTGCGACCGGCGCGCTTGGGTTGGGGATGGCGAGCGGCGAGACCCGCTGGAAAGACACGGCGCGCTGTCGGTTTTCTGACAGCGAGGGCTTTCGTCACCCGCATTCCCCGCTGCTCCCGTGTGAGTCAACTGGGCGTCACTCACTTGGTGCCGGCAGGAGTGGCGAGGTCAGGTGGCGACTACTGCATTGCGCTGCTGCACGCACGCGACGGCTGCTGCTGATAGCACTGCTCCGTAGGAAGCGGAACGTGATATGAGCGCGAGAGTGAGTGACTGGGCGGGCGTCAGCCTCGCAGTGCTTGGAACAGGAGCGCCGTGGCATCACACTTATCAACTCGTGGATCTGTGATGCCGCATTTCAGAAACAGTGGTGGTGCGGTCGAGGGAATCGTGACGTGCACCCGGAGGAGTTGACGTGGCACGATTCCGTTGACTCGGAACCACGTGCGGCTGACTGCGCGAAGCGGAGCCTCGCCACGTGAAAGATTGTGGACGGTGCGCCGTCCGATATTTGCATTAGACGAGATGGGTGGTACTGTAGCTAAGTGGGAGGTGTAGATGACGGCAGAACGATATCTTACGAAATACGACTACACGAGCCCGCCGAAAATATATCAGTAACCACAGGTGACGTTTCGTGAATTCGTCGCCATCGACGTTCCGTCATGGTTCGCAGGAGCAAGCACCCATCCCTCCCAGTTGCCATTTCGGCGCTGTTCTGTAGGCGTTAAAATTTCCAAAAACTGGGTCCGCAGAATCTTCGTTGATAAGTGGTCTTCTGCCTATCAAGGTTTGGTGATAAGAAAGGTCCTGCCGAACCTGTTTGCGCCAAATTTAACGCATCAGCCTGCAGAACGCCACTTTTGGGGCGCACGAATTTAAAGCGACGGTGCACATTTGCCACCCAAAACCCAGAACCCTGGCGAACTGTTACTGCGGATGGAAAGTGTCCGCACGAAATCCTGGTTTTCGCCAGCCAGCACTTTCGCGCTGGCAAGCCTGGTTAAAAAAAAAAACTTCTGAACCCAACACTGCCAAAAGTTGCCCGTCGCTTTAACCGTCTGCAAGTTCGAAGTTGTTGCTTCGCCGGGCAAATGGTCGCACAACTAGTGCGGTGCTAATTCTACCTCGGGAGCTAGCATCAGCCTCCGCACATGTTATGCGAGGCAGCAACATCCGCGCAACGCAACCAGCATGAATGCGCCTAGAAAATGCGCGGAAGGCTACCGCGGTCAATTTGGTGCGGAACCCTAAACGCCTGCAGAACAACGCCTTCGTTGAGACATTCCCTACCAGTCTTTTCACCTCACATTCCCACGCATTCCTGCCATAATAAAGCCACACTTGAAACGGCCAGGTTTGCGTGAAGGACAGCGCCTCGCAACTGCGCTCCTCTGAGTCATCGCAATTTGAAACGCTTCTCTCCTCCGATCCTTGTTTCCGCCTCGCCCGTCACGGTGTTGTTATGCTTGCTTTGACACACTAACAGCGCCACTATCGTCATCGCTCTCGCCGTCGCTATCGGCCTTCAGCGGTCGCCGCCATGCTCAAGGACAAGCGCGCCGCCTTCCTGCGGCAGCAGGAGCGCGTGCAGGCGCGCACCGTCGTCGACCATGCCGCCGCCACAGCCGCCAGGCGCCAAGCCGCCCCTTCCCCCGCCGCGGCGCCGCCGGCGAGCACCGCTGTCGCGGGGGAAGTTGCGGGGAGCGGAAAGGGCATCGCGGTGGGGTTTCAGGGGCTGCAGGCGGAGAACTGGCTGGCGGACGCGGGGAAGTACGAGGCGGTGCTGCGCGTGCGACAGCTGCCGCTGGGGCAGAAGATCAAGAAGGTCATCGACCTCCTCTTCCGGGTACGCGCGCCGCCCCTGCTGCGGCTGCCCCCGCCGCTGCCTGTGCTGGCGCTGGGGACTGCGGGGGCTGCGAATTGCGTGAAGGCGCTACCCCATCAGTGCGCCGACCATGCGCGCAGTTGTACTGCCTCCACGCGCACAGCGAGCGGTGGGCAGGATCAGCATGGTGGAACCAGCGCCCCTGCCCTCTCTGCTTGCGAATAATCCCCTCGCCTCCCCGCCCTCCCTTCGCCTCCCCTTCCCGCCCTCCCCTCCTCTCTCCCTTTCCTCCTTCCCCACCCTCCACGCCCTCCCCTCCCCACCCTCCCCGTGCCCACCTCCTCCTGCAAGGAACAGTACAATACCGTCTGAAGCGCTACTGACTCGCTGCATGCATCCACCTCCCCCGTGCCCTGCCCTCCCCGTCCCGCTTCTCCCCCTGTGCGTGCGCTGGCACAGGAGCGGCAGGGGCTGACGGCGGAGCAGGTGGAGGCGGTGACGATGGTGGACGTCACCACCAGCCGCGAGCTGCAGGCCAGCCTGCGTGCCAACCCCAAGGTCGCCGTGCACGGCAACACCTACATCTACAAGGTGCGCCCCCCGTGCTGGCCCCACGCCCTCTGCTGCCATGCCTGTGCAGCCTGCCGCCTTCCTTTGCTGCGTTGTGGCGCCCTGCCTGCTGTTTCCTCCATTCCACCCCCACTGTGCCCATCCGACCTTCCACCCACTCCCTCCATGCTTCCCCCATCCCACCCTCCCCGCCTCTCCCTCGCCCTTTCCCCCCCCCCTCAACCGTCATGGCAACGCATACACGAGCAGGCGAAGCACGAGTTGGCGGGTCGGGACGACCTGCTGAGGCTGATCCGCGAGCACAAGGACGGCATCCCCATGGGCGACGTGCGCGACTCGTACAGCGCCGTGGCGCAGCACGTGCAGGAGCTGCGCGCCATGGGGCAGGCGTGGGTGCTGTTCAACGCGGACAGCGGCGACGAGGTGCTGTTCCCCAACGACCCGCGCATCGCCATCAAGGTGGACCCCGACATCCGCGCGCTGTTCCGCCGCATCGACCTGCCGCGCGACCTCACCGACCTCGAGAAGGAGCTGCAGCGCTGCGGCCAGAACCCCGCCATGCCCGCCGTGCGCCGCCTGCAGGCCCTCGAAGGCGCCATGACCGCCCAGGTGAGGGAGGAGAGAGAGAGGGAAAGGGGGAAGGTGGGGGGTTGGGGGGTGGGTGGTGTGGATGTGCAGGCATGAGGCGGTAGCATGCCGTTCCTGCTGTGCCTGCAGGCCTTGCAATGGGGCTGGTCGCGATGGTGAGGGGCGCGGTGGTTGAGGTGGTGGGAGGAGGGAGCAGGGAAGTAGGGGGAATGCGGCATGGGAGATCTGCTGTCTAGAGCGCTGGCTGAAGGTAGTGCTGGTGTAGTGGGGTTGCATGTGTTGACTGCACAAGTGAGAAGCCTCCTCCATATCAGTCCTCTTGTTTCCGCCCCTCCAGACGCAAAAGCCCAAGGCGAAGAGGAAGTGGGAGTCGAAGCGCACCAAGTACACCAACAACCATCTGCCAGAGCTCTTCGCCAACACACCCATGTGATCGCCCTTGCTCTCGCCTGCTCACTTCGTTTGAATTCTGTTGGCCTCTTCTCTTCGTATTGAAGCTTACCCTATTAGCCCAATGGCTTCATTGTGGGCCATGGTGCGTGCAATAGTTACGGCACCAAGTGGCATGTCTAATCCGAGTGTTCCTCCCTTGTACATATCTCAGGGAACTGTCTTCTATAATATTCATTTTTGTACCAAGCCTAGTGGAGGTTCTGTGAGCATTGTGGTACTGTACCATGGCTAACAGTTTCAGTGATTGGATTTGTCAACTCCTTGGTAGCTAACGCACACAAAATCTTTCAGAATCAGCCATGCGTAACATGACAGTGCTCGCCCGTTACCCTACCACTTTCGCCACTTGAATCTCACTGACACACCAGCCGCCTCGCCTTCGAGTGCTTTCCTGACAGGCGGGAACGATCTGCCACTTGGCAGCATGCATCGCACAGGTTTTCGCGGGCTAAGTTGGTGGTATGCCACGCCCTTGGTTCTGTTCTCAACCGTCCATGCCCGTGCCCGATTTCAGGGTTCCATGTGCCATCCATGTCCCACCCGTTCCCCCCCAAAGCCCCATCCATGTGTGTTTCACCTTCAAATCTGCAACTCCACAACCTTCATCTGCTCCTCAGTCCCGCTTCCCAACAGATATTGTTTTCGTGTTGTGTGCCATTGCGAATCCGTCAGTCACTCATATCCCAGACACACCTTTAGGGAGTTGTGACCAGGAATCTAGATCTCGAAGTGCATAGCTCGGAAAATGGTGAGCTACGTTAGTTTTGCGTTTCGCCGCGGTAGACGTTTATGAGCATCTCTGCAGAATCTTAAAGTGCTGTCGTGTCCCGCCTTGTCGGTATTATGCAGGCTCTCCCTGGTCAGACCACACCTGAAGGTTGCCCCAGCTTCAAGCTAATTCTTGTTGGTGATGGCGGTACAGGTGCGCATCTCTCTTTGCACAGTTCGGTTATGCGACGCTTAGGCAGGAGCGTTTAATTGTTTTCACTTTTTGTTGTTTCAGGAAAGACAACCTTTGTGAAGCGTCACTTAACGGGTGAATTTGAGAAGCGCTATGAACGTAAGTTAAGGATGTGATGGATTCAGTTTTAGCTTTACTGTTCTAATCTCGTATCAGCGTTAACAGTCGCTTCGTCGCTCATGCCGCAGCCACTATCGGTGTGGAAGTCCACCCCCTTGATTTCTACACCAACTGCGGTCGGATTCGCTTCTACTGCTGGGACACAGCAGGTCAAGAAAAATTCGGCGGACTTCGCGACGGTTACTAGTAAGCTCTTCCACGATTGTCAGCACCTGTCTCCCTAGTTTTCTACCGACGTTCGTTTTCACCGTGTAGCCCATAGCTTAATGTCAAACGAGCTTCAAGAAACGGGTCGGTTATGACCTAAAAAGCCACATTTCGTTGTTCGTAGCTGGGGAGCAGATCATTGCGACTGACAAGAGGGAGATTTTATCTGGGAGCGCCTTCAAGCTTTACATGGCTAGTAGTGCGGGGAGTGCGAAGGATCGGCCGATCGGGTAGCACCATACCGATGTAGCGACTGCGTTGCCGTAGCCCTTCTCGTTGTCCTCCCGTTTTTCCGACCGTTCTCAACCAACTGACGGCCTCAAACTGACCCGTTTGTATTCCCCTTGGCATTTCAGTATCCACGGGCAATGTGCGATCATCATGTTCGATGTGACATCGCGGCTTACATACAAGAACGTCCCTACATGGCACAGAGATCTGTGCAGGTAAGCTTGAAGCTTGTAGGTTGCATTTTGAACGAAAAGTTGAGGCCTCGTTGCTTATTCATTTTTTTCTATACCTCTTTCCCAGGGTGTGCGAAAATATCCCCATCGTCCTCTGTGGAAACAAGGTTGACGTGAAGAACCGTCAGGTGAAGGCCAAGCAGGTCACTTTCCATCGCAAGAAGAATCTTCAGTACTACGAGATTTCTGCCAAGAGCAACTACAACTTTGAGAAGCCCTACCTGTATCTTGCCAGGAAGCTTGCTGGGTAAGTTCATCTCCATATTTCTCCGAGGCTGTATTTCCTCTGTAGACCCTTGTGGAATCGCCAATCTTCACTATGTGACTCTGTTACTGCTTCCAGGGATGCCAACCTTCACTTTGTGGAGTCGCCTGCTCTTGCACCACCTGAGGTCGCCATTGACCTTGAACAGCAGGCCAAGTAAGTAGAGTTACGATGTCAATTAGTATGAGCATCAATTGTGAGTCGGTAATTCATTCCTTGTGTTACTGTCTGTTCTGCAGGTACGAGCAAGAGCTTGCTGCTGCTGCTGCACAGCCCCTTCCAGATGAGGATGATGACTTGGTGGAGTAAACTGGTCGCAATTTTCAAACGTCGTCTGTTGATTAGCTGCAATCATACAAATCTTTATGTATGTTTGCATTGATAGAGGTGATTCATACCAGCTGCCTGTAGCTTATCCCTTTTTTGTAGTGTCACAAATATTTCATAGGCTAGTTACCAGATCATTTGAGATGTGTGCTACCATAATGCCCATTTGCGCCTACCGTCATCGCCCGGATTTAAGACATATATGTTTTATCTCGTACACGGGCAAAAATGCTTGAGTTATCTTGTAAACGGGATGGTTTAGGGTGTCTTATAAGTCTTATAAATGATTTTTTTTTTTATAGTTGATTGTAACACTTGCAAAGTGTGTAGAAACCACCCAGGGGTCAGATTCATTGAAACAGGTCGACCTCGGTGGTGATGCATGCAGCGCCCACACTTGCCACGCGAGGGATCTGCCACCGCTGGCAACATTCCTCTGTGCTGGCAGCATCTAATGATGCTGGCAGCGTCGTTTTGCTGCCAGCAGCGCAGGGATGCTTCCAGAACGCTGCTGGCAGCACGTTGTGTTAAGAACTAAGGCAAGAGTGAGTGTATTAGGTAGCGATTAGGGTACAAGACTAGAGTGTCGAGGTTGTTTTTGTACCCTCTTAAGGCTAACCCCACTACAGCCTACCCAATTATAATCATACAAGTATGTTTGACACACCCCCATAGGCAAAGTGGGGGAGAACAGAGCGTCACAAGACCAGTCAGGAAATGCAAAGCAAGCTCAGGGTGGATCACAACGTCACCACACAGTCCGAGCACAGGCAAAAGGCCACAAGGCCAGTTCACAACAACAACACAATGATCACTACCTACCAGAGCAAGCAGGCAGGTATATACGGTATATATAAATCACAGTACAAGTAAAGCCTACAGCAAGTGGGGAAGAGGGGGCACAAGGCCTAACAAAGTACAGAAACGCTGATGATCACCAGGCGGAAGTGCCTTGGTGAATATATCAGCAGTGTTGGCCCGAGTGACCACGTAAGCAAGACGAAGCTGGCCACGCTGCTGCAGCTCTCGAGCAAGGAAGTAACGCAGAGCGATGTGCTTCGTTCTGTGCTCCAGTCTGTGCTCCTGACACAAGGCAATGGCGGCCTTGTTGTCGACGTACAGCACTGGAGGAGAACGAGGCCGCTCTCCCAAGTCGGTCAGCAGGTAGGTGAGCCAGCGTAGCTCCTGTGCAGCCATGGCTGTGGCGTAGATCTTGGCCTCACAACTGGAGCCGAGAACTGAAGACGAGCGTGTGGAACGCCAGGAAACTGAACCAGAACCAAGGCTGAAGGTGTAACCCTGTGACGACCGCTGAGTAGCCTGGTCGTCAACCCAAGAGGCGTCCGAGTGACCAGTGAGGACAACGTCATCCCGTCCTCCAAGCACGAGCCCCATGCCCGATGTACTGCACAAGTAGCGCAGTACCCTCTTAGCAGCATCCATGTGCACCTTTGGTGCCGACCAGGAGCCACGTAGCGAGCCAGAAGGCCAAGAGGGTACGCAAGGTCAGGACGAGTGCAGGTCATCAGGTACATGAGGCAGCCCACTAGCTCTGGGTAAGGACCACTCGGCTCTACGGACTCGTCCGAAGGTGGTGCTAAGAGCGAGTGACCTGTAGCCAGAGGAGTGGCCTGTGCGGAGGACCTGGTGAAGCCGAAGCGCTGAAGGACCTGCTGCACCATGTGTGACTGAGTCAGTGTGATGGTGCGGCGTGCTCTGTCCCGGGTGATTTGCAAGCCAAGGTAGCTGTGCAGTTCACCCAGGTCTGTGCACGTGTGTCTCTTCTGTAGCTCCAACTTCACTAGGGCGAGCGCCTCAGTGTCAGCAGTGGCAAAGACCAAGTCGTCGACGTACACGAGAATGTAGAACGGCGGCAGCGAAGTATCGGTGCGCAGAAACAGCGACGGGTCAGCAGTCGACGGGGCAAACCCAAGAGCCGCAAGAGTCGTCCTCAGTGTGTCGTGCCACTCACGTGGCGCCTGGCGGAGACCGTAGACTGGCCGTCGGAGGCTCCACTGGGTACCAGGAGGGAATGACCCAGTGAAGCCAGGTGGACGGCGCAGCCAGATCTCCTCGTGCAGGCTGCCCTGTAAGAACGCTGTGCTGAAGTCAAGAGAGTGAAGCTCGTCGTCACGCTGAGCGGCAACGTGCAGCAGCACCCGAAGAGCAGTCATCTTCGGGGTGGGGGAGAAGGTCTGGAAGAAGTCAACTCCCTCTCGCTGACTGAAGCCTCGAGCAACGTAACGAGCCTTGAAGATAGGCGGAGAACCTGGCGGCCGCTTCACCCTGAGAATCGACATGCCACTGACGATGTTCGCCCCAGGAGGGGGAACCTCATCGACGTAGGTGCCTGTGGACTTCCAGGATGCCATCTCTGCATCCATGGCTGTCTGCCAATGAGAGGAGTAGGGACCCTCGATCGCCTCAGCGTACGATCGAGGAGTCGGGATGTCGGGTGCATCCGGGTCTCCCTCAGGGGCAAGCAGCATGGGCACGAGATGAGGCGCAGCGGCTGCAAGACACTCAAGGTCCTCCTGCCTGTCCTCAAGGACGTCCGTGCCAAGAGCACACTCACCCCCGACAGACGGAGGACAGACAGACTCAGACTCAGTAACAAGACTAGCGACGTAGTTTAGACGACAGGCAGCAGCAAAGTCAACAAGCTCAGCGACTAAGGCAGACGTAGCAGCAGACTCAAACGACGGGTCGGCGACAACAGTGGCTAGCAGACGCGTGACAGTAGGGTGCTCAGCACGAAACCGGTCAGACTCAGGGTCAGCAACGACATGTAGAGAGGACGCAGGTGGGGACGGCAGAGGAACACTCTGTGGAGGAGAGGAAGGACGACGGACTATAAGGGAAGGGCCGGGGACAGCCGGCTGACGCTGACGAGGAACACGACGACTGGAACGACCAGAATGGACAGGTGAGATAGGACGCGACGCAGGCTCACGACGCTCAGTAAGGCCCCCGGACTGCTCACCGTAAGGAGAAGGAGCAGGCAGAGGTGAGCCAGGCTGTAACGGAAGACCAGTAGACGACGGGAGGCTAAGAACCTGGCGAGGCACGGAGTCAGGCGGTGGCAGAGACGACGGAGACGGCGGAGCAAAGAACAGGCGCGACTGTGCAGTGTCACCAGCACCAGCAGCTCCAACACCCTCAGCAGCTCCTGCACCTCCAGCAGCTCCAGCACCCTCAGCAGCTCCAGCACCTCCAGCAGGTCCAGTACCCTCAGCAGCTCCAGTACCTCCAGTAGCTCCAGCGCCTCTAGCAGCTCCAGTACCTCCAGCAGCTCCAGCACCCTCAGCAGCTCCAGCCCCTCCTGGTGCAGCACCCCCAGAACCGGCACCCCCAGTCCCAGGGTCTCCAACCGCAGTGCCACCAGCAGCAGTACCCTCAGACACACCACCGCCCGCCTCAGCAGCTCCAGTACCCCCAGTACGAGCACCTCCGGGACCAGCAACACCAGCACCTCCAGCAGGCAAAGGACCAGCACCACTCCCAGCTCCAGTGACGCCAACAGAAGAACCCCCAGCAGTAGAGCCCTGAGGTGCAGAAGCGCGACGCTGACGGCGACCGTACCAGTCGTGCAGCTGCTGGGAGGTGAGAGGCACACGCGGACGAAGACGGCTACTCCAAGGAGACCGCGTAACAGCAGTCTCAGAACCCTCAGGCGACTCACCCCCAGACCCAGCACCCCCACGCTCCGCACACGGAGGCGCAGTACCCCGAGACGCAGCACCCCCAGGCTCAGGACCTCCAGGCTCCTCAGGTGCAGGCTCAGCACCTCCAGGCTCCGCACCCTCAAGCTCCTCACGCTCAGCACCCCCAGACTCAGCACCCCCACGCTGCGCACCCCGAAGTTCCGCACCCCCAAGGACAGCACCACTCCCAGCAGAACCGGAGTCACCAGTGACCTCAACAGGCGCAGGGACGGGAGGGTCTACCTGAGAAACACCTGAAGGAGCAGGGCCTGGCGCAGGGAGGGGGTCTACCTGGGGAGGACCTGGGGCGAGAAAGAGTGGCGGGAGGGGGCGAGGAGCAGTGCGGTAGGGGAAGAGGCGGTAAAAGGGGACCGACTCGTCAAAGGTGACGTCCTGAGACGCAAAGACATGGCGCGAGGCGGGGTCGTAAAACTGCCAGCCAGGCGCGTCAGGGACAAAACCAAGGAAGACGCAAGGAATGGCACGAGGGGAGAGTTTGTCCGCAGTGGTATCGCGGACAAAGGCACGGGCACCCCAGACCCGGAAACGCGACGCGTCGCCAACCTTCCCCGTCCACAGCAGTGTGGGCAAGGTCTCCGGCAAGGAGACACGGGGCCAGAGGTTGAGCTGATGCGCGGCGTACCGGACCGCAAACGGCCACAGAAAATGGGGGGCAGCCGCATGGATCATGGAGGTACGAGCGACCTCCATGACCAAGCCAATGCGGCGCTCAGCAACCCCATTCTGCTGCGGAGAGGCCGGAAGCGTGAAAGTTTGACGGATGCCGTGCTCCGCACAGAAGGCCGCCAAGGGGTCCGAGGACAACTCACCACCTCTGTCAGAGTGCAGACGCAGGACAGGAAAGTCCGACTGGAACCGCTCGCGGAGCTGGAGTCGAGCAGCGCGGATCCAGGGGATCAAAACATCAGGGACATCCCCCTTGCGCTGCAAGGGGAAGACCGTGGTGTAACGTGTGTAGTCGTCGACAACCAGCAGGAAGTACCGCTCGTGGCCCTGTCCACGGACGCGAGCTGGGCCCCACACGTCCAGGTGGAGAGTCTGCAGGGGAGCCTCTGTGGGAGGGAAAGAGGAGGAGTGAGGAGCGGCGCGCTGCCGCCCCTCGACGCAAGGAATGCAGGGCGGCGCAGGCGAGGGAGGGAGGGCAGGCAGAGACCTGGGAAGACCAGAGACCAGGAAGCGAGAGTGCATGCTACGCAGGCGAGGTAGGGAGGGGTGACCAAGGCGGTGGTGCCACAGGAGAGTGTCGTGCGACAGCCGGCGACACTCACACTGGGTAGCTACCTGAGCAGACGCTTGTAACTGGGGAGACAAAGGGGCGGAGCGTGACGCAGTGGTGAGGGTGTACAGACTGGACCCTGGCGCACGAGTGAACGTGGCCAGGTGGCGGCCGGTCTCGGAGCACGTGCAAATCGCCACACGCTGCCGGCCAGGGGTGAAGGTGTCAACCCCCGCATCCTGGAGGACAGCGTTGCTCACCAAGTTCGTAGAGAACGAGGGGAGGTGGAGACCAGACAGCTCGCCAGACGGGACCGCCGGACACGGAAGCACGGTGGAAGACCGTGCAAGCACTGGGCCCCCAGAGGGGTCAGCCAGTGAGACAGGAACAGGTGCAGGAAGGGGAGTGACTCTGCTACTGTCGCGAAAGAAACAGCGGGAAGCACCAGAGTCAAGTGTAAAAGTGTGCAAGGCCTGTTCAGGCGCAGTACCAGGGGGAGCAGACTCACAAGCACCTTGTGCTGCAGGCGCTATACCAGGGACTATACCAGGATCCGGCGGCACACACAAGTAGCAGTCACCCTCAGCACTAACAGACAATGCATACATAGCAGCAAGAATAGCCTCATAGTCAAGATCAAAGATAGGTACATCACGCCTAAGTAGCTCTGCCCAGTTGGGGAACTTAGGAGCATCAGGAAACTTGGCGCGCCAGGCGTCGCTAAGTCGAGCGAAGCAGCGCTGCTCAGTGTGATAACCTGTGCACTGGCGACTAGTGCGGGGACCTGTGCGAATGATATAGGGGCAGCGACCAGGACCCCCAGAAGCCCCACGCCTGGCATACCAGTCAAGAAGCTGCTAGGAAGTGGGGGTCTGGCGCTGACGCTGCTGCTGCTGCTGCTGCGGCTGCTGCTGGCCCTGACCACCACTACCACCACCGCTCCCTCCTCCCCCACCGCCGCTGCTACCCCCTCCACCGCTCCCAGTGCCTCCGCCGCCCCCACCACCACCTCCACCGCCTCCACCCCCACGACCACCCCCACCACCTCCACCTCCCCCGCCGCCTGCACTACTGCCACCTCCACCGCCACCCCCACCGCCCCTGCCACCCCTGCCGCCCCTGCCGCTGCGACGCTTCCCACTAGGAGCGGAAGCAGCTCCGACCTCCTCAGCACCAAGGTAGTCATGAGCACCAGCTGCGGAGGCGTAGGAGGGGGTGAGAGGGGAGGGGGAGCACCCCTCAAAGAGGGGAGAGCGAGGAGTGCTACGAGCAGCACCTACAGCGAGGATGTTCTTTTCTGCTGCGAGGAGGTGCTTCTCGAAGTCGTCGACAGTGAGAGTGGGGGGGTCTAGCGCGAGGAAGTGGTCCCTGACTGAGCTAAGAGTGTCAGGGAGGCGGGTGACGAGGAAATAGAGAGTGAAGTACATCAAGGGGGGGGGGGGGGGTTAGCGGCACAGAACTCGGCTGAAAGGGCGGCACGAAAGCGAGTGTCAGTAGCGCGTAGGTGGGAAATGAGGTCCTCAGCAGTGGTGAACGAGGAAAGGTCGGGGAACAGGTAGGGTAGCATGAGCCGACCTATGGCTGCAGTGGCCAGGGAGGAGTAGCACGCAACTACAGCGTCGTACAGCTTCTTAGCAGTTTTGTGCTGGCTGAAATGCGGGCGCTCAGTAATCGGCAGATGGTTCCTAATAGCTAGGCGTGCAGCAGCATCACGAGTTTGCCATTGCGAGCGTTCGAGAGCAGGAGCATCGGCAGCAGGAGCAACGGCAGTGCCAGACACGTAATCGAACAGTGAAACGCCCTCTTTGACATCGGTCAGAAGGAACAGTTGGAGATCATCTAACCACACAGTGAACTCTATGGGGCGACCGTCAGGCTCGAACGCGAGAACGTTAGGCGTCATCATAATGGCAGCAGGCAGAGGAAGGAGGCAGCAGACAAGAGGCAGCAGGCACCAGGCCACAAGCAAAGACCGAGGTAGCAGGCAGCAGGCAGGAGACAGCAGGCAGCAGGCAGGAGACAGCAGGCAGCAGGCAGCAAGCAGGAGCGGCCGCACGCGAGCTCCTAAGGCAGCGCGCTAAGCAGCTGCGGGCCGGGCAGGCGGCCGACGCGACGCGCGGCGCAGCGGCGGGCCGCGCTGGCGACAGACGCGGCGCGCGGGGCGACGGCGGGCTGCACGCGACGGCGGGCTGCGTGCGGCGTCGGGCTGCGCGGGCTCTACGTGGGCTCTACGCGGGCTGCGCGGGCGACGCGGGCCGGCGCGCGGCGCTACAGCAGTGGCGCGCGCTAAAAACAGTGGCGCGCGCGCTAGTAGGCGAGGCGCGCGCGAAAAAAAAGTGACGCGCGCTGCAGCCGAGGCGCGCGCGGGCAGTAGGCAAGGCAGGCAGTTAGGTGGGCCCGATTCTTAGGTCCTAGAGACCTCCTGCTCTAGTTACCATGTTAAGAACTACTGCAAGAGTGAGTGGATTAGGTAGAGATTAGGGTACAAGACTAGAGTGTCGAGGTTGTTTTTGTACCCTCTAAGGCTAACCCCACTACAGCCTACCCAATTATAATAATACAAGTATGTTTGACACGTTGGCAGCGTGAGTGCTGTCCTCTACGAGGAGATGCCTCGTAGAGGAGCGGCTCGGCACCTGTGGATGGGGCACTTTGGCTGGGGGGGGTAGTCGGGCTCTCACTTCATTTGGTGCTCAAGGAGGTTGACTACTCGTCTCAACCTTGCTCTCGGCAGGCTTTCTAACCATGCGCAGCAAAGTACCAGTAGGCAAGTCCTCACCTCGTCCTCACGTGCAGGTGAATAACTACGGGCGAATTAACTCGCCCGGCGATGACATCCGTGTATCTATGGCGAAGAACACGAGCAAGGCAGGAAGTCCTACCGCCGCCTCTGGTGCGAGCTGTGACGGGGACGACGAAGACGAAGCGACAGGCGACGACGCCGAGGAGGATTGGCCAGAGAACGGCCACGACGACAGCGCTTCGGGCGACGAATTAGGTCCTGCCGACATCGAGGAGGACGAATGGTGGAATCGGCCGGTCGGGAGCGACGACGAGGTGGAAGAATGGCGGGCTGGTGATTCGGACAACGACGGAGGTGAAAATGCTGATGGTGACAACGCGGAGGCAGCGGCGGATGCACAGGAAGCGGCGGTGGATGCGAATGAGGAGGCTGACGACGAGGCGGGGGCTGAACTCGAGACAGTTGCGCCTGCGGATGCGGCCGCAATTGCGGATGCGGATGCTGTGGCGGAGTCGGACAAGGTTGCTGCGGATGCCGTCTTATTTGACGGTGAAGGCGGCAACGACGACCCATGGAGCATGCGGACCGACGACAACGTTCCGCTACTGAAGCGGAGGCTGCGCCATCGCCTACAGTCCAAGTCGAAGCGGGCCCGCGTGGTGCTCTCTGACGACGACAGTCCGGGGGAGGAGCGTCGCCCGATACTCACCGCTGCGGAGAAGGGAAAAGCCAAGGTCGCGGAAGCCACTGCTAAGGCCCCTGCTAAGGCCCCTGCTCGTCGCCGCACAAGCAACAAGAAGCGGACATCCGACGGAGACCCGGGATCCAGCAAGGGTGCGGCTAAGAAGAAGGCGAAGAAGGCGCCAAATCCTGACGACATCGTCGTGAACGAGACGCTGGGAAGCGACGATGAGTACGCGGCGGCGGCGGGCCCGATTCCCACGTTCCCTGAGAAGGTCACGCCAAAGGACCCCACCCTCCATAATCCCAACACCAGCCCCCCTTCCCCTCGCAGCAAAGACAGTACGAAGAAGCGGTTGGACCGTGCGTGAGAAGCTTAAGTGGGCGCGCCGCTATCAGGAGCTCGGCTCCTTGAAGAAGACGAGCGTGGAGTCAACCGCGTCCATCGCCTGCATCAGACGTTGGTGTGCGGAGGCGGCTGCGGGCGTCTACAAGGGCGCGGCTAACTGCCGCAAGCGGATGCACAGGGGGGGGCGCCACTAACACTACCCCGACATGGAGGCAGCGTTGTACCGCTAAATCTGCCTTCAGCGCGCTAACGGGGTGGCCATCTCGGTGAAGGACACCTAGAAGTGGAGCCGCGAGTGGATGAAGAAGCATTACCCCGGCAAGAACTGGAACGCGAGCTCTCACTGGAGCCAGCGTTTCCGATGTGGGTGAAGACCAAGGTCGGCCAACGTCTGTCGGCAGGTGCGTGTTGAAGGAATTCGTGTCGCGCGCGGGCCATTAAATGCATGTACTTCACCCAGTGTCTAACCATCCCGTGCTTCCGTTGCGCTTGTCCCGTTTGCAGAGTGCGCGAAGGACTGCGAGTCCTTCTGGAAGTTCGTGCGCATCAACAGGGCGCGGCACAACATCGACCTGGCCCGCATCATCAACGCGGACCAGACTCCACTATTCGTGGAGATGCCAGCCGAACGGACGATCGAGCACCGTGGCGCGCGCTCGGTCCTAATCCGCACTGCAGGCTACCAGAAGACGCGCTTGACGGTGATGCTCGCGTGCACTGCATCCGGGGAGAAGCTGCGGCCGTGGGTGTGGTTCAAGATGAAGAACGTCCCCAACCGTGAGATTCCGGAAGGTAAGCGTAATGAATTCAACCGTGCGAGTGCCTGATGAGCGTGCCCCACTGTGCTGATGCCCGTCTGTCCCTTGTGTGCCTGGCAGGAATCGTGGTCCAAGCACAGGACAACGGGTGGATGGACGAGAGCGCTGTGCAGACGTGGCTGTCCAAGGAGGTGCTGCCCCATCTGAACCCCCAGCGCGGCCAGAACGCGAGACGTGCGATGCTGGTGTTGGACTCTTACCGCGGCCACATCACCCAGACCATGCTTCAGTCGTACCGCACGTACAACATCACCCCAACTGTCATCCCAGCGGGTTGTACGAGCCAGATTCAACCCCTGGACGTCTCCATCAACCGGTGCTTCAAGGATGCCGTGCGAGCGCGCTACGCCAGGTGGTTCATGCGTGAAGGGATTTAACTGAAGACGAAGAAGGGTGAGTTGGTCTTTCATTGTAAATTCCTGTTCACTCTCCTGTCCTTGTCTTTAACATGCTCTTTCATGTCCGTGTCTCTAACATCTCGCTGCTCCGTCCTCTGTCCCACCCGCAGGGAACCTGCGGAGGCCTCCGCACCCCGTGGTGCTGCAATGGATCGCGGAGGCTTGGGATCAAGTCCCCAAGCAGATCATCATTGACGCATTCCGCCATTGTGGGATCTCAAGCAAGCTAGACGGAACGGAGAACCACCTGGTGATGTCTCACCTGCGCGCCAGGAGCACCACCGATGTCTCCGCGGACATGTCCCTCGCGGGGACCACAGGCGACAACACGCGCCTGCTCGGTCAGGCTCTAGAGGAGGAGGAGGAGGAGGAGGAGGAGGAGGAGGAGGAGGAGGAGGAGGAGGAGGAGGAGGAGGAGGAGGAGGAGGAGGAGGAGGAGGAGGAGGCGATGCAGGCGGAGGGCGTGCGGGAGGTGGCCGTGGCAACCGGCCTGGAGGTGCTGTACCAGGAGACCCCCAACTACCGCGGAGCGGCGGCCGAGGCTGACCGCATGATCGAGCCTAGGGAGACGGCTAGGCATGCCTGGCGAGTGCCAGACCTGGGTGTAGAGCCTAATGTTAGTGCATGTGAGGAGGCGGTGACTGAAGGGGGTTAGGTAGAAGTAGAGATTCATGAATGTATGCATGTACCCACCTAAAGTAAGGAAGGCTAGTCTAGAAGACACCCCCTGTTTATAAGAAAACCCCTAAACCCCGGTTCTGATTATAAGACATATATGTCTTATCTCGTACACACGAATAGGTGTCGTATAAAAAGGCTAGCCTGTTAGTAGAGACACCCGTATAATAGACAACCCCTGTCTACTATTCAACACTGTCTTATATCCGGGCGATGACGGTAATCGTTGGAAGCATTCCTCGCCCATTTTTATGAATCGGTGTGTTCCCACTAAGACCTTAGCGTTTGCGCTGCAAATAAACATTTCAATGTCATTACAAGTGTTCAGAGCAGAACATTTAGTCAAAACACTGTCTAGGTGGATACTGTCAAATGTTATAGCCTCTAGTGGGTCATGCTATATGGGGTACAAACAGTTAGGGTTAGGCATTTGTACCCCAACCCAATCAATCCAACTCATTCCGCTGTGTTTAGTTTTTGAGATGGTATCAGAGCAGTAGGTTCGCCGTTCCTAGGCTACACTTAGTCTCCGCCGTTCCTAGACTTCGGCCGTCACTAGCCTTGGCGTGAACCCCCCCCCCCCCCCCCCCGTCTGCCCGAAGCACGCTAGCCAGCAGGCCCGCGAGTGCCCTAGCCAGCTGTCAAACATATGCATATGTTATATTTGTGGGTAGGCTGTAGTGGGGTAGATAATGTGGGGTATAACCCCTTAGGCTTTCTTCTCCTTGTACCAATTCTCTCGATAGTCAACTCATTCATGCCTAAGTCTCTAAGATGGTATCTAGATCTTTAGGACCTAAGATTAGGGCCCACTGGTTACCGCGTTACCTCACCTACGGCCTTGCCTGCCTGCCTGCCTTGCCTGCTGCCCGCGCGCGCCTCGGCTGCACGCACGCGGCCCTTTTTTTTTCCCGCGCGCGCCGCTTAAGCAGCCCGTGTTAGAATCTAGCAGCATGAATGAATGCACTATGGAAGAGTAGGGTACAAGTATGAAACCCTAAACGGGGCTGTACCCCATATTGGCTACCCCACTACAGCCTACACATATATAGCATGCATATACTTTGAGACACCCCCATAGGCAAAGTGGGGGAGAACAAGGGGTCACAAGACCAGTCAAGAGAAGCAAAGCAAGCTCAGGGTGGATCACAACGTCACCACACACACTGAGCACAAGCAAAGGGCCACAAGGCCAGTTCACATGCAGAGGTATATATGCAACAAGAACAGTACAGTGATCTCTACCTAGCGGAGCAAGCATGCATGTATATATATAGATCACAGTACAAGCAAAGTCTACAGCAAGTGAGGATACGTGGGCACAAGGCCTAACAAAGCACAAAAATGCTGATGATCACCAGACGGAAGTGCCTTGGTGAATATATCAGCAGTGTTGGCCCGAGTGGCCACGTGAGCAAGGCAAAGCTGACCACGCTGCTGCAACTCTCGAGCCAGGAAGTAACGCAGAGCGATGTGCTTCGTTCCGTGCTCCAGTCTGTGCTCCTGACACAAGGCAATGGCGGCCTTGTTGTCTACGTACAGCACTGGAGGAGAACGAGGCCGCTCTCCAAGGTCGGTCAGCAGGTAGGTGAGCCAGCGTAGCTCCTGTGCAGCCATGGCTGTGGCGTAGATCTCAGCCTCACAACTGGAGCCAAGAACAGAGGACGAGATGTAGACCGCCAAGAAACAGAGCCAGAGCCAAGGCTGAAGGTGTAACCCTGTGACGACCGCTGCGTAGCCAGGTCGTCAACCCAAGAAGCGTCCGAATGCCCAGTGAGGACAACTGGGCTCCGCCCTCCAAGCACGAGCCCCATGCCCGATGTACTGCACAAGTAGCGCAATACCCTCTTAGCAGCATCCATGTGCACCTTTCGGTGCCGACCAGGAGCCACGTAGCGAGCCAGAAGGCCAAGAGGGTACGCAAGGTGAGGACAAGTGCAGGTCATCAGGTACATGAGGCAGCCCACTAGCTCTGGGTAAGGACCACTCGGCTCTACGGACTTGTCCGAAGGTGGAGCTGAGAGCGAGTGACCTGTAGCCAGAGGAGTGGCCTGTGCGGAGGTCCAGGTTAAGCCGAAGCGCTGAAGGACCTGCTGCACCATGTGTGACTGAGTCAGTGTGATGGTGCGGCGTGCTCTGTCCCGGGTGATCTGCAAGCCAAGGTAAGTGCGCAGCTCACCCAGGTCTGTGCACGTGTGTCTCTTCTGCAGCTCCGACTTCACCAGGGCGAGAGCCTCAGTGTCAGCAGTGGCAAAGACCAAGTCGTCGACGTACACGAGGATGTAGAACGGCGGCAGCGAAGTGTCGGTGCGCAGAAACAGCGACAGGTCAGCAGTCGACGGAGCAAAACCAAGAGCAGCAAGTGTCGTCCTCAGTGCGTCGTGCCACTCATGTGGCGCCTGGCGGAGACCGTAGACAGGCCGCCGGAGGCTCCACTGGGTACAAGGAGGGAACGACCCAGTGAAGCCAGGAGGGCGGCGCAGCCATATCTCCTCGTGCAGACTGCCCTGTAAGAAAGCTGTGCTGAAGTCAAGAGAGTGAAGCTCGTAGTCACGCTGAGCGGCAACGTGCAGCAGCACCCGAAGAGTAGTCATCTTCGGGGTGGGGGAGAAGGTCTGGAAGAAGTCAACTCCCTCTCGCTGACTGAAGCCTCGAGCAACGTAACAAGCCTTGAAGATAGGCGGAGAACCTGGCGGCCGCTTCACCCTGAAAATCGACATGCCACTGACGATGTTCGCCCCAGGAGGGGGAACCTCATCGACGTAGGTGCCTGTGGACTTCCAGGATGCCATCTCTGCGTCCATGGCTGTCTGCCAATGAGAGGAGTAGGGACCCTCGATCGCCTCAGCGTACGATCGAGGAGTCGGGATGTCTGGTGCATCCGGGTCTCCCTCACGGGCAAGCAGCATGGGCACGAGATGAGGCGCAGCGGCTGCAAGACTCTCAAGGTCCTCCTACCTGTCCTCAAGGACGTCCGTGCCAAGAGCACACTCACCCCCGACGGACGGAGGACAGACAGACTCAGACTCAGTAACAAGACTAGCGACGTAGTCTAGACGACAGGCAGCAGGACCGGAGTCACCAGTGACCTCAACCGGCGTAGGCAACGGAGGAGGGTCTACCTGAGGCACACCGGAAGGAGCAGGACCGGGAGCGGGGAGGGGGTCTACCTGGGGAGCACCTGGAGCGAGGAAGAGCGGCGGGGGGGGGGAGAGGGGCAGTGCAGTAGGGGAAGAGACGGTAAAAAAGAACCGACTCGTCGAACGTGACGTCCTGAGAGGGGAAGACACGGCGCGAGGTGGGGTGGTAAAACTGCCAACCAGGCGCGTCAGGGACAAAGCCAAGGAAGACACAGGGAACAGCGCGGGCGGAGAGCTTGTCCGCGGTGGTATCGCGGACAAAGGCACGAGCACCCCAGACCCGGAAACGCGACGCATCGCCAACCTTCCCCGTCCACAGCAGTGTGGGCGAGGTCTCCGGCAAGGAGACACGGGGCCAGAGGTTGAGCTGATGCGCGGCGTACCGGACCGCAAACGGCCACAGAAAATGGGGGGCAGCTGCATGGATCATGGAGGTACGAGCGACCTCCATGACTAAGCGAATGCGGCGCTCAGCAACCCCATTCTGCTGCGGAGAGGTCGGACGCGTGAACGTCTGGCGGATGCCGTGCTCCGCACAGAAGGCTGCCAAGAGGTCTGAGGAGAACTCACCACCTCTGTCAGAGTGCAGACGCAGGACGGGAAACTCCGTCCCAAACCGCTCGCGGAGCTGGAGACGAGCAGCGCGGATCCAGGGGATCAAAACATCAGGGACCTCCCCCTTGCGCTGCAAGGGGAAGACTGTAGTGTAACGCGTGTAGTCGTCGACGACCAGCAAGAAGTACCGCTCGTGGCCTGTCCACGGACGCGGGCTGGGCCCCACACGTCCAGGTGGAGAGTCTGCAAGGGAGCCTCAGTGGGAGGGAACGAGGAGGAGTGAGGAGCGGCGCGCTGCCGCCCCTCGACACAGGGAAGACAGGGAGGAGCAGGCGAGGGTGGGAGGGGAGGGAGAACCCTGGGAAGACCAGAGACAAGGACACGGCGGTGCATGCTACGAAGGCGCTGCACCGAGGGGGGACCAAGGCGGTGGTGCCAAAGGAGGGTCTGGTGCGACAAAGCGCGACACGACCAGGGGGCCGCTAGCTGACCTGACGCAGATGCAGATGCAGCAACCTAAGGGGACATAGTAGTCAGTGTGTACAAACTCGAGCCAGGCGCACGGGTAAACGTGGCAAGGTGCCGGCCCGTCCGGGAGCACGTATAGTGGGTCACGCGCTGACCTCCAGGAGTGAACTGGTCAACCCACTGGTCCTGGAGGTCAGCACCACTCACCAAGTTCGTAGAGAACGAGGGGAGGTGAAGACCTGACAGGGAGCCAGACGGGTCCGCCGGACACGGCAGGACCGTGGAGGAGTGCGCAAGGACTGGACCCCCAGAGGGGTCTGCTAGGGAGACTGGAACCGGCCAGCTGAGCGGCGTGAGGGTGGTGCTGTCACGAAAGAAGGAGCGGGAAGCACCTGAGTCAAGTGTGAAGGTGTACAAGGCCTCAGCAGACGCAGTACCAGAGAGAGCAGACGCACCAGCACCTGGAGCAGCAGCCTCACCAGCACCCAGAGCAGGAGACGCACTAGCACCTAGAGCAGCAGCCTCACCAGCACCTAGAGCAGCAGGCTCTATACCTAGGTCAGGCGGTACGCACAGGCAACAGGCACGGTCAGCACTAGTAGGCAATGCATACATGGCAGTGAGAATAGCATTATAGTCAAGAGCAAATATATCTACCTTCTGCCCAAGCAGCTCCACCCAGTTGGGGAGCTCATCCTCGTCGCCAAACTCGGTACGCCAGGCGTCGCTCAGACAGGCGAAGCAGCGGGACTGTGTGTGACTAAGCGTCCCGCAAGCCTGACCCGTCCGATCACCTATGCGAATGACGTACGGG